AAAACATAATTTTGAAAAAATATTTTAAAAGAATAATTGGAAAAAAACAACCAACCAAATACCTGCAAATATACTCTGTTTGCCTCAGATTATATTTCCCTTGGGGACTGTCCACCTTTTTGACTGCCACCAGCACCCTGGCCCCAGGAGCAACCAAAACCTTTTCTTTCTGTTTCCTTCAGAACAAGTGACAAAGGGAATTTCCAAACAGACTTTCCTAAGCTCTAGTAATGAAAGGGACCGAGGGGACTAACCACTGTGAATGCACAAGCACAAACCAACACACTCCATAAACATCCAAAAAGAGGACTTGGCTTGCAAAGGAGACTTCTGATCATTCTGGGCTGACCTCATCCGAGGCTAGCGGACCCTATCCCACTTTCCACTATGGCCAAAGTCAAACCAGAGTTTCAAGTATGAAAATAAAAGAACATCCAGAAACTCTGCACAGTGATAATTAAAATAGCTATAAAAGAGTGAGTCCACTGAACAGGAAACATTAAAGATAAAACAGAAGGGTGGAGTAGAGCAGAATGGTAGAGTGCAAGACCCTGGGTTCCACCCCCTAGCACTGCAAAACAGGGTGGGAAAAAAAGCCTCTTTCCCCATAATCAACATAATCAAGATGAATGTTCTTGCCAGGCAGAGCAGCACATACCTGTAATCCCAGCATCACCGATGGTATGTGAGGCAGGAAGATGGAAAATTCAAAGCTAGCCTCAGCAACTTAGTGAGGCCCTAGCAACTTTGTGAGACTCTGTCTCAAAATAAAACAAAAAGGGCTAGAGATATAGCTCAGTAGTTAAGCACCTCTGGTTTCAATCCCAGTACCAAAAAAAAAAAAAAAAAAAAAAAAGTTTTTGTAAGTTCAGCACTATTGATAAGACAGTTGGCAAGGCCAAGGAATATGTGGCAGGTGAGTGGGTATAACATGGAAATGCACATCTGTCAAAAAGCTTCAGTCTATGCTAAACTAATAGAAATTATTATCAAGCTAGGAGTGGTGGCACACACCCATACTCCTAATGACTCAGGTGGACTGCAAGTATGAGGGTAGTCTCCGCAATTTAGCAAGACTCGAAACAATTTAGTGAGACTCTGTCTCAAAATAAAAAATAAAAAGGGCTGGGGATATGGCTCAGTGTTGCACCCCTTGGTTCACACCAAAATCAAATAAATATTCATCTCATTCTAGTCAGAATGGCAGTTATCAAAAATACAGACAACAATAAATGTTGGTGAGGATGTGGGGGGAAAGGCACACATTGCTGGTGGGACTGAAAATTGGTGCAACCAATCTGGAAAGCAGTACGGAGATTCCTTAGAAAACTAAAAATGGAACCACCATTTGATCCAGCTATCCCATTTCTCGGTTTATATTCAAAGGACTTAAAAACAGCATACTACAGGGACACAGCCACATCAATGTTCAAAGCAGCTCGATTCACAATAGCTGAACTGTGGAAGCAATCTAGATGCCCTTCAAAAGATGAATGGATAAAGGAACTGTGGTATGTATACACAATGGAATATTATTCAGCATTAAAAGAGAATAAAATCATGGCATTTGCAAGTAAATGGATGGAGTTGGAGAATATCATGCTAAGTGAAGTAAGCCAATCCCAAAAAACCAAAGACCAAATGTTCTCTCTGATAAGCGGATGCTGATCCAAAACGGGGAGGGGAGAGGCATGGGAAAAATGGAGGAACTTTGATTGGGCAAAGGGGAAGGAGGGTGGGGAGGGTGCAGGGGGCAGGAAAGATAGTGGAATGGGATGGACATCATTAGCCTAGGTACATGTATGACTGCATATATGGTGTGATGCTACATTGTGTACAACCCTAGAAATATAAAGTTGTGCTGCAATTGTGTACAATGAATCAAAATGCATTTTTCTGTCATATATACCTAATTAAAATAAATTATAAAAAACACAAAAATAAACAAATAAATAAATAAGGCTGAGGATGTAGCTCAGTGGTTAAGCACCTCTAAGTTCAATCCCCAGGACCAAAAAAGAAAAGAAATTAATATCAACATTGTCTGTATTAAATTGAGACTGTCTGTTTAAAAACAGGCTCAATAGTGTTAACTCTAAAAGAACATTTTCTTTTTCAGTTGAAACTCTAATTGTGTTTTCAGTTGTAAACTCTGATAAGAAGCAGTCAAAAACTGAGTTCATTTCAAGAAGAAGTTCTACTTACCAAAAAATAATTAAAAGAATGCAAAATAATATTTGTTTTTTAACTCTTAAAGCACTTGCCACAGGGAGCTCAAGTGTAGGCAACTAAAAGAAATAATCCAAAGTAAAAATATTGATTAGAGAATCTTCACTATGTTTTAACACTGTTTTCTACCCTAATTATTGGCCTGATTCCTTTTAAACATACAAATCACATATGCCTGGCTATGTTTACAATTCCCAGGCTCCGTAACATGCTTTTACTTCAAATAAGAGAAAGTATTTAAGTTGGAGGAGGGTGAAGAGAGACTGGCTGGACACTGAACTGAAGTACCTCACAGGGATCCCAAGTGCGGTTCAGATCCAGGACTCCGCACTGCTTTCAGTTTAGGACAAGCCCACTCTCCATAATGTGGGAGACCAACCTCGCACGTGACTGAGTTAACTCCCCTGCTGGGCGATGTGGCATCAGGCACCCATGCTGCTAGACTGCTTGGCTCTTCTAGGGTTCGAGTGACCGTCTTTGAGTGACTGTGTCTTCGTGCCCGGATGTGTCTTGCTACATCCCCATGGGTGGAGATATGCTCACCTGTTCCTTTGTAATATAACCCCTTGCCCTGTTTAGGATAGCATGTTCCATGGAAGTGCCTTGTATGTGTCCCCTTCTCTTACTGTGCCCTTGGGTGTGGCCTACCCAGACGTCAGTCAACTTGCTGACAGTGGACATCATGAAGATAGACTCAGCCCCCTGAAACCTGACCTCTTGCCTCATTTGAATAGCTTCCCTCAATAAAAGGGGTCAGCGCATGCTTTCTCTCTCTCTCCCTCCCTGTGGACCCTTAAGGTCAGAGGAGCGGTCCCAGCGACCCCAAAGAAAAAGGTATTTATGTCTCTTGTGTGGTTATTTTGTGCAGCCCAGTCAGCCCACTTTTCCTGGAGCCTTTTAGTCGCGGCACCATAAAGCCTTCCTAATTCCTGATCCAACCCACAAGCAAATTAGCTCCCCGTCCTCTGATTATATTTTTTGCTCATTGAACAAAACTTCACCAAGTCTAAACTATACTCCAATTTCCCCTACTTAGTGAACATTTCCCCACTTCCTAACTCAAAACAAAGAAAAGAAAATTTACAATGCTTAGCTCATGTGTCAAAATACGAAACCTGTGGGATCAAGTACAGGCTAAACAAGATAGAGCTAGCACCCACTGCACTGCAAGGAGCCTGCTCTCCACAGTGACAGCGACCTGTTCCTTTCACAACTCTTCACAGGAGCTCCTGTGCTGCTGCGCGTTACTTTAAAGGAAAACCCAACTTTTGCCGGTGTATACGTTCACAAATCAATTTCCTCTGGTTCTCATTGTTTCTCAGCACAGCAGGGTAGCAACTGTCTTTGAAGGTACACTGTGTTCAAGTGCCCTGGACCCAAATACGAAACTTCTGTCACCACAAAATAAACCATGACTTAAGCCATTTCTGAATGTTTGGGAGGCCATTTACGAATTAGGGACAATTGTGGTGTGGTGCACATGTACTTGCCTAGCATGTGCAAAGCCTGGGTTTGATCACCACACTGTAATAAGACTGATGAACAATGATTAAAAACAAATACACAGGGCAATAATATTTAGAAAATAGTCCAGATCTTAGCTGGAGTGTAAAAAAAGGGGCATGAAATCAATGAAGTCATATTATCCTTGCTGCTTAAGTCTACAGAAGTCTGACGTGGGTTATTGCTGCAATTCCTAAGTTAACACAGCAGCCCGCTCTGGCAAGCTTCTACTGTGATACCAGATATAGGCTGGTAAAATAAAGAAAGAAATACAAGCTCTGGAAGATGAAAAGCTGTCTTCCCATGTTATGCTGCATAAGAACCTTGGGAGTCTGCAGGAAGGAGGGAAAGTGAAGAAGAAACAGACACAGGGGAGGATGATGCGGTAGCCATCACTACCTCCATAACTCTCCATGCTGCATGCCCTCACCTAGTGAACTGATGCCCAAGGCTGCCAACCTGTGCTGGCACCTGGGTGAAATGGAGGAGCCTCAGCACTGCTGCACAGACAGGAGCATGGGACCCACCGAGAGGCCCTTTTACCTCCAGCCTTTGCCCCTGCTGTCATGCAAGATGCCCTTCCTCCTTCCTGCGCACCTAGTTTTGACTGTTTAAACAGATCCTCCCTGTGAAGAGATCCTGATCCCTTCCTCCCACACCCAGATTGACAGGGCCCTACTTCAGTGGCCCCAGGGCAGTCTTTCTTGAAGCTCCTATGGAGGTTGCCTGTGTCATTTGACAGTTTCTCATCTAAATGTTTACCTCTCAAATAAGTCCCTTGAAATTAGAGGCCTTGGTCTGCGCTTGTTCATTAGCACTTATGGAGACACTCCATAAGTGTTTGGTGGAGGACAGGTGGATGGACAGGTAGATGGATGAAGAGGTGACAAAGTACAGCATTCCAAAGCAGAGAGAGTTCTGAGTAACAAAAGACATGAACCCTCTCTGCCCACAACAAGGGAAGAGCAGAAATGGGAAGAGGGCCACAAGCCATAGATGTTTATGTGGGTTCTGAAGTCAATTGATTTTGGCATATAAAAGACTACAGGAAGCCAGACGTGGCGGTGCATGCATTAATGCTAGCAATTAAGGAGGCGGAGGGAGGAGGATTGCAAGTTCAAGGACAGCCTCAGCAACTTAGCAAGATTCTGTCTCAAAAAATAAACAGTGCTGGGGATGTGTAGCTCAGTGGTAGAGTGCTAACAAGACCCTGGATTTAATTTCCAATACTGGGGGGGAAAAATGAAAAAGACTACAGGAAGCTTTACCCAGGGATGCCAAGAGCTCATAGTTCATCCGCATCACGTCTCTGTACAGCTCCTTCTGCCACTTGTCCAGCAGGCCCCACTCTTCCCGGGTGAAATACACTGCCACATCCTCAAACACTGCCGGGAGCTCCCCAGACACCACAGGAACCTCCAGCAGCCCCTCTTCAGGAGGGTCCTGCAACAGAGAGCAGTGCTGCTCAGCTCACCTTTGGAGTCAGATACCACTTGTCACTTCCAGCAGCCTTTGAGAAGCCCACCAGGAGACCCAGATGCATGCTGAGGAATTAATTTCTTCACTGGAAGTCAAAGAATCAAATTTGTGAGGCCCAGAATTATTAGGTAAAACCAAATAGGCCTCAGTCAGATCCTAGGATCTCCTGGGAGAAAACAAGAACACATGGGTAGGAATTTCAGTGGAGCCTCTAACTGCACCCTGTCTGCTAGAGTCCTAATAGGGGTGCTCTCTGCTCTTCCATGACTATAGAGGGGATTGCCTGCCTCTGGGAGCATCGGCTGGGCTTTCCCTATGGGACATGAAGAAAGACAGCAAAAAGAATTATGGATACTTATAATCAGTGACTAAGCTTACGCATGTCTTACTGCTAAAGGAATTCATTATAAAGGTTTGACTTGTTTATTGGCTTCCAATACTGAAAAAAAAAAAAAAGAGAGAACGAGAAAGAAACTTTGCTGTTTTTCAGGACTCTGGAAAAATTCATGCTTACTAATTTCAGCTGGGTTCCTTATGGTGCTAGCTCTGAGGCACACCCAGGCTACTCTCGCTGGACTCCCAAAGGAGCACTAACAGTGGTTGATAGTAACATCCTACTCACACGCAACAGTTCAGAATGGGGAAAATTCCAACTAACACGGCTTCCTCAGAGACCAACTTTCCAGAAAACTATAATTCAAAATAAACAAGGCAAATGCTAGAGTTGTTTAGGACCCAAGCAGCACTACAGGAAGCAGAAGGAAAGCAGGAGCAGGTGGTCAAGGGCCCTGGGCAGAGTCCCACATTTACAACACTTCTCCTGAGGCTCCGTCTCCTGACACGGTGAGTTACTAACATCAGCTCCACAGCTTCCTAACAACATTAGACAAACTATCATACAAGATGTTTGAAAAAATTCTGCAGAGTTTAAAAGTGCTACATCACTCCACAAGTTGAAGTTGAAATTTTAAAAATACTGATTATTTAAGAGCTCTGTGGTCACTGTGTGATTGTGGATTATTTCTTGAATTTTGTAGGTTTTGGATTCTGGATAGATTATCATTCCTTATATCAGAAGTTAGATGTTCTAGTTGGGTGCGGTGGCAGATGCCTGTAATCCCAGCAGCTCGGGAGGCTGAGGCAAGAGGATTGAGAGTTCAAAGCCAGCCTCAGCAATGGGGAGGGGCTATGTAACTCAGTGAGACCCTGACTCATACAAAATAGGGCTGGGAATGTGGCTCAGTGGTTGAGTGCCCCTGAGTTCAATCATTATGTATGTATTACCTGACTGCAGAATTCAATAGCGTCATTACACAAAATGTTAATGTCTGAAGAGATGTCACTGGTGATTTCTTTTTGTCTCACATCTGAAATGCAGTCTAGATACAATGCAGGGTTTGCTGCACTCCCTCCAAGGTCCTCTAGTTCTGCTCTCGAGCTTGGCAGGAGGTTGGCCATACTATCAAAGTCTTCCAGAGGCCCTGGGGGGTAGAACATGGGATAATCTGCTGTGAAGAGGTGCTCAGAGCTGGCCAGGACCTCTGAAGAACTATCCCTGATGCTCTGGAAACGGGCTGCCCAGATGGGGTCCCTGGCGGCCAGGGCATTGACACAGAACATATGGGCTTTGCTCTTGGCATGATATTTGAGAGTCTCCACCTTGAATGGTCCTGTGTAACCTTCTATTAATCTTGACCGTTTGTCCCTGACAGATGGGTATTCTCTGCAGGCACAGCAAAACAGAGCTGTCTGTTCCTCATTCATGATCAACCATGGAAACTGTGCAAACCATGACTTCTGGATAGATCGGGGTTTCAGAGGTTTCTTGCTTCTCCCTGTCCAGTCTCCCTTGATGGTGTCACTCTCCACACTGCAGCGGCCAAGGCAAGCTTTCTTCTGAGGTGGCACGTACAGTCCACCTTCCCTGGTAGCACCCTGCACATCCATTTCTCCCATGTAGCCCACCTGATCTTTTCCTTTAAAAAGAAGAGACAAAAGGAATTTGCTTTGAAATTCTATGATCAGAGCCACCACAATTCACAGTGGATCCGCTATGAAAGGTGGAAAGCACATGCTCAGTCCAAAATGACACAGCCTGTGTTCTTGTAGGAGCTCTACCATACTTGAATTCTCCACTTCTAGTTTCTTGGAGTTCCCAGGTCCACCTTGCCTAATCCAGAAGAAAAATCCTTGTCGGGAGCTGAGCACCCCCTGGCTTTGAGTGATGGAAATGTGGAGACTGGCTTCCCTGACCAGGAGGCAGGTGGATCCCCATTTCGCCTCAGCAGAGGAGCACAGCTTTGGGAGTGGGTGTTACCCAATGGGAGTGGGCTGTCTCTTGTAACATGACCCCTCTGCCTTATATGGATAGAGTGTTCTTTTGAATAGCCTACCTCTCTTTCTTGCCTGCCTTGCCTCCTTTGTGGGAGCTGGGTCTGGGGGTCACAGAAACCAAAGAAAAAGGTATTTTCTCTGTCTGTGTGTCATTAATTTGTGCCAGCCCAATTCTCCTGAAGTGACCCTGACTGGTTTAGTTGTGTGTAGGATATGCTGACAGATATGTATCAGACATGCTTTAAGCAAACCCCTTTTTAAAAAACAATTTAAAGGAAAGATACACCCAGCCAGCCAAAGGAAGATCTTTGCACTTTGATCAATACAAGCTAAGACAGCAGTGCAATCTTCAGGGGTTCAGAACTTACTTATTTACTTACTTTTGTGGTACTGGGGATTGAACCAGGGCCCTGAGCACATGAAGCATGTGCTCTATCACTGAGTCACACCCCCAGCTCTCAGAACTTACTTTTGGATAAGAACATGGATATAAGAAAACACAGGGTTAAACTTGGTCATTAAAGCCAGTTAACTAGACTCCTTGCTCTCCAAGAGCCCCCTGCTGTGGTAGGCCTAACAGAGAGGCATCAGCATCCTGTACCTTTAGGGCAAAAGTTACTTATCCCCTGGGCACTATTTTTATCTCCAGATAGTTTTACCTAAGCTGTGATCCATCTCTGAGTACAGTGGTCCCCTGTGGTCTACAGTGAGTACATTCCAAGGTCCCCATGGATTCCTGGGCCATGGACACCAAACTATATATACTATGTTTTTTCCTATCTATACATGGATGGGATACAGTTTAATTTATAAACTAGGCACAATAAGAAACTGACAACAATAATAAAGTAGAATAATGATAACAACATAAGTTATGAGAATGTGGTCTCTCTCTCCTTCAAGTATCTTACTGCTTGTTACTGGCCATGGTTGGCCGAGGTGACGAAATAGTAGGAAGTGACACCATGGACAAGGGGACTGCTGCACTTCTGCTTGGCGAAGGTGACACAGGCTTGAGCAAAACCCAACTTCCTCTTTCCAAAGAGGTGAAGACTCTCGTAATCTCATGAGGATTTTCTTCTTCAAACTGCACTAGAAGTTTCTTTTTTCCCTCCTTCCTTGAAATGTACCTTAGAAACTCTAACACACTAAAGCCATTTCTTCTGTATTAACATAAGTTTAGATGGCCAGTGGCCAAGAACTAGACATTGGCTCCAAACCAATGGACCTGTCTATAAAACAGTTAACCCCAAGAGCTCAAAAGTGTTAACACAGTCAACAGGCTCCAAATGTGATGTGAAATCAAACAAAACAAATGAGCCTCTTTATTTATTTATATATTTGCTTGTTTGTTTATTTACAGTACTTGGGCTGAGCTCAGGAGAGCTCTACCACAGTACAGCCCCAGACATTTTTATTTTGAGACAGTTGCCCAGGTTGGCCTTGAACTTGCAATCCTCCTGCCTCAGCCTCTCAAGCAGACAGAAATAGCCAGGATTATGGGTATGCATCCCCATACTTGGCTTCTGTGATTCTTTATAGTCACTGACTATGGTCCATTTGAGAAACCACAGGGAGAGCAAACTTCTGTGATTCAAATCATATAGGCTTATTCCCCACGTCCTTCTCCCATAGGGGGAGTTGGGTTAACTCTCATCTTATATAACAAGTTGCCATCTGGCCTGGCTCTAGCTAAGCCAACTGCAGAGAAGCTTATCAAACAGGAGAGGAAAGAAAAATCTCTAGGACTTAGCAGACGGCTGTTTCTTCATTTCTTCACTCTTCCCTCATTTGCTGATTACCTATGGTACATGTACTGTGTGCCAGGCATCATTACAGGCACTGGGAATATGGTAGAAGATGAGAGAACCACACCTTCTGGGAACAATAAACATATACTTCAGGGTAGAAATCAAAGACAGGGAGCCAAGAGGGCAGAGAAGAACACTGGGAGAGGCGTGCATATTCAGATAAGGTGACACCCAGGGAAAGAGCAGACTTGCAGATATGTCAGGTACTCTGATGAGAATGGTCCTGGTACCCCTCCCTGTTCCCTCCTGCTGAGCTCTGTCTCTGGGGCATAGGCCACACTCACCGGGGTGATGGTCCAGGAGACTCCTCTGGCCTTGGACATTGCCTGGCCATGGCTTGGACACTTTCCCAAACTCACAGAAGAGCTCAGGGCTGGTAACAGTTGGGCCTGAGTTGGAAATAGAGAAGAGCAAGTAAGGGTGTGCCTCTAGGCCCAGTATGAAGTCGGGTCCTTCCTTGGCATTGTGAACACAACATTGTGTTCTCTTGGTGTTGTGGACGAAGAAAGCAGGAGCGGGTGGTTTAGCATAGTAGTTTGGAAACTCTGCAGAGAGAACCCTGAGAGAATGGGGACACAGGTAAAAGCAACGAGGGACTAACAGTGTGAAATGTAATGGTTCAGTTGGATGCTCTCAAGCCCAAATGGTGAGGGGAACCTGATACTACAACTGAGGAAACCGGACTGGGCATGGAGGTTGCGGCATCCTAGAGGACCCTGTAGATGGGGGCAGTGGTTACTCAGTTCCAGAAGGCTACTGCACAGAATGCAGACTCAGAGCTGCCACACAGTCCCATTTGTTAAGAGAAGCCAGACATCCTTATTTTTATATGAAAATTCTTAATGGCTGTTATGTTTGAGACAAAACAAGAAAGTTTGGAGGACAAATGACTGGGTTATAGCCTTAACCTAATCAGTGAATTAACTCCTGATGGGATTAACTGAGTGGTGACTGGAGGCAGGTGGAGTGTGGCTGGAGGAAGTGGTTATTTGGGGATGTGGCTTTGGGGTACATATTTTTATCTGGAGAGTGGAGTCTCTCACTCTCTTGATTCCTGATCACCATGATGTGAACTGCCTCCTTCCATCACACTCGTCTACCATGATGTTCTGCTTCACCTTAAGCTTTGAGGAATGGACTCTGCTGTCTATGGATCGAGACCTCTGAAACCATGAGCCCTCAAATAAACTTTTCCTCCTCTACAAGTGTTTGGTTGGGTCTTTTAATCAGAGCAGTGAAAAAGCTGACTGAAACAGAAATTGGTACTGAGAAGTAGGGTCGTTGTTATGCCTAACCTGATCCTGTGGTTCAGAAGTTTTCTGAGCTTTTTTGAATTGGTGAGAGGAATTTTGAGATATTTAACAGTGCAAGCTGGAAATGCTTTAGGTTGTTGTAAGCGGAGCTTAATGGCTGATTCTAGTGGAGGTCAGAAGACCAGAATGCCAATAGGACCATGGACATTAAAGACAGGGCTCAAGAGGGTTCAGAGGATGACTCTATTGGAATTTGGAGTAGAGGCCCTTTGTGTTATGTTCTGGCTGAGAAACTGTCTTCATTTTGCCCATGTCTAGAGACTTTCTGTGAGGCTGATTTTAAAAGCAATGAACTTCTTAATCTGGTAGACAGCATTCAAGAAGTGGCATGGGTATTGCTGGTGGCTTTTAGCCAAGGTTATTGTGATATTCAGGAGCAGAGAGTGGAGCAGAAATTTGAAAACTTGGACCTGAAAGTTGGGAGTAAAACTGGGGCAAAACAAAACAACTATAATCTTTAAGTCTAATCTGAGCTGCTACTATGCAACTTCTGGCTTAGGAGAATCCATGGTTTTCCTGTCCCTTTAGCAGGCACAGAAAGACCAACCCAGCTGCAACCTCTCCACCAATAGAAAGCTCTTTGCTCTTACCATGCCTTCATTTTTTCTTCATGGAAAGAGAAGATAAAGGCATGGGAGACAGTCATCCAACTGCAGTCAGGGAATACAGGTTGGCTCCCCTCACCTGAAAAGCTTGGTGTCCAAAGTATTTCCGTTTTTGGAACATTTGCAAAGACTTTACTAGCTTAGCACCCTTAATCTGAAAATTCAAAATCCAGAAAGCTCTGGAATCCAAAACTTTTTCTTTCTTTTTCTGGTGCTGGGGACTGAGCCTAGAGGTGCTCTACCACTGAGCTACACTCTCAATTCTTTTTTAAAAATTTTATTTATTTTATTTTGAGACAGGGTCTCATTAAGTTGCTCAAGCTGGCCTTAAACTTGTGATCCTTCTATTTCAGCCTCCCAAGTCACTGGGATTACAGGCATGTGCCACTGCATATGGCATGAAATCCAAAATCTTTTGAGTGCAGGTGACTCTTAAAAAAAAAAGTTCTAGACTTTGTGGGCATTTCATGTTTTCAATTTTTGGATTAGGAATGCTCAACCTGCACAATACAACATACACATGTTGATACAACCACCCTTTCCTTGGTACAGAAAATCTACCCTCAGAAGCAGAGAAAAAAGCATTTAAAAAATAAAGGATGGGCTGGGGTTGTGCTCAGCAGTAGAGAGCTTGCCTAGTGCATGTGAGGCTCTGGGTTCGATCCTCAGCACCACATAAAAATAAATAAATAAATAAAACAAAGCTATTGTGTCTAACTACAACTAAACATAAATTTAAAAAAAAATAGAGGAGATGAAAGATACCTACATTTGTACAAAGTTTTAAACTGTTTAATCTCATTAAATCTCTAGGCAATTCTAAGAGAATGACCAAGGCTTAAAAAGGCAAAAGGAATGCCAGTATCCAGTGGCAGAATTGGAAGAGAGACCAGATTTCCATAGCAAGTCTGCTGCTCTTCCCACTACTATTTACTAACCCCACGGCCCTATGATCTTCGCAGATTCACAGACTAGTCTTTCTACTGGGGGGATATTCTGAGGCATCCAGAAGACAGACTTCAAGGTATCCTTGGCAAGCCAGACTTCCCTAACCTCCTCATCAATTTAAGGGGAGAAGGGAAAGGGTGGTGTGTAGTTTGCAGGAAAGTAAGATGTGAGACTGAGCAGAGGAGTCATGTAAAAATTCCTACAAAGGGACACACCTTAATCCCAACAACTCAGAGGCTAAGGCAGCAGGGTTAAAAGTTTGAGGCCGGCCTCAGTAACTTAGCAAGGACCTCAGCCATTTAAGGAGACCGTGTCTCAAAAAAAAAAAAAAATAAAATAAATAAATAAAAAAATAAAGGGCTGGGGATGTAGCTCAGCAGTAAAGTGCCCCCAGAAAATTCTCCAATATGTCTTGGCCTGGTTGGGGATCTACACTGACAGTGGTGGAGACATGTAGAAATCCATACCAAGTGGTGGCACCAGCTTGTCAGAACCATAGAAGTCCTTCTGCTGCTGACTCAGCAGCATCCATTCCTCCTGGAGCAAGTACACTGTGATATCATCAAATGTCACAGGAGCCTGCAAGGAAAAATGATACCTGTGAAGTACCAACTTCTTCCTGAGATCGGCCTTCCATACAGTGTTCACAACCACCCAAGGCGCCCCTACTCTGGGAATTTACCAGCTTTGGGGTTGGGGGTGGAGGCACAGTCAATTTACATGCATGACCTACTCACTCCCTGGGTGCAAATCACAGTGAAAATAAGGCACGTTGTTCTTTAAGTGCCACTCAGTGAAACGAAGTACAGCCATAAAGAGAGCTGACTGAAGAACTTCCAGATGTTTCCCTGCAGCTCCTCACCTGCTTCCCACACTCCCCATTATCTCTCTGCCAAGGATTTATTTACAATTTATGGCACACTCTTTCAGAAAATCTTTTTTTTTAAAGAATTTTAATACTTATTTTTTAGTTTTCGGCGGACACAACATCTTTGTTTGTATGTGGTGCTGAGGATTGAATCCGGGCCGCAAGCATGCCAGGCGAGCGCGCTACCGCTTGAGCCACATCCCAGCCCAAGAAAGTCTTTTTTTAAAAAATACTTTTTTAGTTATACATGGGCACAATATCTTTATTTTGTTCATTTATTTATTTTTAATGTGGTGCTGAGGATCAAACCCAGTGCCTCATATATGCGAAGCAAGTGCTGTCACTGAGCCACAACCCCAGCCCTCAGAAATTATTTTTTGAAGAAATTTACACACACACACACACACACACACACACACACACACAGAGTTGCTGATGGACCTTTATTTATTTATTTACTTACTTACATGTGGTGCTGAGAATCGAACCTCACACATGCTAGGCAAGTGCTCTCCACTGAGCCACAACCCCAGTCCCAGCAAATCTTTTTTCAAAAAATATATTTATTTATAGATGGATACAATACCTTTATTTTATTTTTTAATGTGGTGCTGAGGATCAAACCCCCTGCTTCACACGTGCTAGAAATACCACTGAGCCACAACCCCAGCCCCTTCTTTTACAAAATCTTGGACATGATAAATTTTCACCCTGGAAGATGTTTCAGATTTCTAGAAGTAGTTGAAAGAACTGTATCTATGAATGAAGTTGATGGTCAAGTCAGGCAAAGCTTTAGAGCCGAGATTGACATTTGGCATCTGTATGGCTTGCAGAGAAGCTCTGGGGGTCTTCCACATTAAGATGGCCCCTTAACGAGCTCATCTGATTGTCTTTGTTCCCTGTGAATTTAAAAGAACACCCCCAACCCCCCCCCCAAAAAAAAAAACAAAGCTGCTCCGGGATGGGGAGCACAAAGAAGACACAATAGCAACATAAATTTGGAAAGTGAAAAGCAGATGAAAAAGTAGTAACTGGGCAGATCCAAGAAAACGGAATCCTTACTTGGCGGAGAACAAAGCTGGGACAACCCAGTTCCACTACTAAATCCTCAAAGGTTCAGGCACAGGAAATCCAGAGAAAAACAACATTTTGGGAAATGGAAGCATGCCACTTAAAATAAATGATACATCTATTTTAGCTCACATGGAATATGCTTCTTGAGAAAAACTATACGGGTAGTTCTAATCAGCTGCTAATATAAATTCAAAAATAATTTGAGCATTTTCTTAAGAATTAAAACATGTTCAGAAAATGTAGAAAATAAGTAGAAAAACACATTTTCTCTCTCTCTTTTTTTTTTTTGTGGTGCCAGAGATTGAACCCAGGGCCTTGTGCATGCGAGGCAAGCACTCTACCAACTGAGCTATGTCCCCAGCCCCAGAAAAACACATTTTAAGGGGCTGGGGTTGTGGCTCAGTGGTAGAGCGCTTGCCTCACACGTGCGAGGCCCTGGGTTCAAGCCTCAGCACCACATAAAAATAAATAAAATAAAGATATTGTGTCCATGTATAACTAAAAAATATATTAAAAAAAAAACACATTTTAAGATCCCCATATTCCCATCACTGAAATAGAATTACTTTTAACATTCAGTATTATTTTGTCTATGAATATGTTTAAAAACAGACATGGAATTGTACTGTAAAATGTATGCTTTAAATAACTACTTGTGTGGAGAGAGTCTTCCAAAGTAAAATATGATTCGATCTCCAAAAGCTACTGCAGAATAGCCTGCATTCAAAGGAGGTACACAGGAACAGGGCCTTGAACATGAAAACAGTGGAGGAGGGCCAAGGAGGGGACCCCAAGATTATGTGGAAGGCATAACCCAGGAAGCCGGCTGCACACCAGGACCGGAGGCCTCCCTGCTCCTACTGGAGTAGGTTAAAATGTCTGTGACCATGGGAGGGGAGGGGAGGCGAGGGGAGAGGAAGGGGGGATAGGAAGGGCAGCAGAATAAAATAGACATTATTATTGCTGTATGTATATATGTGACTGTATGACCAATGTGATTCTGCAACCTGCACAATCAGAAAATTGAGAAATTATACCCCATTTGATTCAAATGTATGAAATGTCAAGATCATTGACATGTGTAACTAATAAAAAATTAAATTAAATTAAATTTAAAAAATAAAAATAAAATAAAATGCCTGTGACCAAGGACAAGCAGGGCTCCCTATTCACACCTTTCCCCCAGGGCTAAGGTGTAAGCATATGAGGGCCAGTGAGCCCCATCACCTTAGCTGCACAACCAGGAGTGCGGCTTGGACTGTCCGGATGATAAAGAGGTGTACTCCCAGCAAAAGTGACCACACTAAAACCTGGCACCCCTCTTTTAAACATTATGGCAAGAGCCTTCTGTTTCTGGATGATTGGCAATGTAAAGGAAACAAATCTGCTTAAATAAAAGGAATTCCTTATCTATAGAGGGTAAGAAGTAGCTTTGGAAATTCTATTTTAGTGATTCCTACCATCTACAGGATGAAGCTCTCGCTTCTCAGCTTGGTACCAAAGAGCCTCAATCTGTATCTCAGGGCTTCCCCACCAGGAGTATTCCTTCCAGCCAGATTAGTACCATTGTAATCATTCAACCGACCATGCACCTTTCCTCTTCACCTACCCATCTTTAGATCCCATGATTGACCATTTCCTCCCTCTACTTAGAGCTAACCTGCCCATCAGGGTCCTATTCAATTCCATCTTTCATGAGGGATTTCATCACCTGGCCCCAGCCAGTGCTCCTTCCCTAGAGCTGGGAATGCTTTATTTCCCTTTTTAGTAGGTGGCACTCAGGAAACCAATGCTGATTGGCTTATTTTATAACTTCCTTCACCAGCACCACCCCTTTCTCTGATACCACATTATAAAGAATTTCATGGGCACTTAATTCATTTTTTCAGTCAACATACATCCATCATTTAAGTGGTTTTTGTTTGTGTTTTTGTATCACGAATTGAATTCAAGGGCACTTACCACTGAGCTACACCCCCAGCCCTTTGCATTTTAAATTTTGAAACAGGATCTCACTAAGATTTGGAGGCTGGCTTTGAATTTGCAATCCTCCTGCCTCAGTTTCCCAAACTGCTAGGATTATATGCGTGCACCACCATGCCTGGCTTATTTCAGTGTTTCTATGTGCTTGCTGTGAGGTGAACCAAAGATATGAAGAGAGATTAAAATCCATCAGGCAGTGACAGACAACTATAAGTACGAGAGCAGAACTTTTTTTTTTTTTTAAAGAGCCAGGTGCAGCAGCACATGCCTGTAATCCCAGCAGCTCAGGAGATTGATGCAGGAGGATTGCGAGTTCAAAGCCAGCCTGAGCAAAAATGAGACACTAAGCAACTCAAGTGAGATGCTGTCTCTAAATAAAATACAAAATAGGGCTGGGGATGTAGGGATGTGGCTCAGTGGGACAAAAGTGCTGGGTGCCTTCTATCCATCATTCCACCAACAGTGAGATATCCTACTGCCATCCAATGGCCCAAGATTGCTTTCAGTTAACCAATGTCACAAAATAGCATCTATAGAAGATTCTAATAATTGACCAAGTTGCCACCTCAAGAGAACCCCTAGCTACCAACTTTGAGTCCCCCAAAACCACAGTCTACCCAGGCCATTGCCTTGTCATTCATTTGTAGCACATCTCACATTGCCAGTTGGTTTTACAATCAATTTATTTCATTTTTGGATAATATTCTTATTTATTAGGGTAGAAAACAAATATACTTAGGAAGGGTGAGCATATTTTTGAGATACTCTGCAATCAAAGATTAGAATCAAGAGTAGCGGGGTATGATAGTCACACCTGTAATCGCAGCTACTCCAGAGGCTGAGGCAGGAGGATTGCAAGTTCAAGGTCAGCCTGGGCAACTTGGTGAGTTCAAAATAAGTAAAAAGAGCTGGGGTGTAGCTTATTGGTAGAGTGCTTGCTTAGCATGCAGAAGGTTCTAGGTATCATCAATTCCCAGGATGGAGACAGAGGATTAGAATCAAGGGTGAAATTAGTGGTTGGATCCCAGAAGGACATCAATTCCTACTCCATTTCCCAAAATATTTGTATTCTTCTCTTCCTGTTAAAGGCTAAAGCCTACCATTGACTGGAACAGTTTAAATCAACTCAATTCACTAATTCCAATTTTAATGCCTTTTTCTTTCTTACTTTTTTTTTCCCCTAGAGTCTCAGGAGTCTCACTGTGTCATTCAGGCTGGCCTGAGATTCCTGAATGCAGGGACTACAGGCTTGCCCTGCTTGTCAAGTTATTATTATTTTTTTTACCCTCTTTCCCTTAAATTTTGCCCCTCCTCATCTAAATTCAGGTTCAATCTAAACTAATCTGGGGATATTATCTAAGGGTAAGGGCATTTCCTTTTCCTTTTTTGTATTCCCCAAAGTGCTTAACAAAATGCTGGCACATAGTTCCTTCCAATCTTTCTTTAGGTCCTATTGACTTTATTGTCTTGGCCTGGAGACTGTGTATGTGGCTCAGTGTGAAAAACGCATCATTGTAGCTTGTGGAGGGAAGGAAGATGGAAGAGGTGCTTAAGCAAGGAGTGTTTTTGCAAGTCTTCCAGCGCCTAGCCAGCCAGGTGCTAGATTTGCAAAGACTTTCCAGTCTTTCCAGGAATCTTTTTTTCCTGGATATCCTCCTATTCCTTCTTTCTGGGGTGTGTTCGAATTCCTAAGGTAAGTATTTCTGGAGGGCTCCTTCAGGCATCTTACTCAATGAACAAAGTCTTTATTAAATGGACACTTTTTTTTCCTTTCAAGAAAGAGACTCAATAAACACTTGAAAATGTTTGCTGAGAGAATTCCCTGTGCCATAAAAATACAATCCTCAAGAACTGGGGACAAATCTCAATGGTAGAGCACTTGCCTGGCATGCCTGAGCTTCCCGCTCCAAAAAAGGAATTGGCTGCAAAGAACATCCAGAAAGATCTTAATCCCAGAAGCTGCCACTGTCTCAAAGTTAATGTGCCTACAATCACGGGGTTCTTTGACGCTGAGGCTGACACTGCCTCGGAGCTCTAGCAACCCTTAACTGTTTCCAAGCACTTTCTCCCACCTCTTCCAACTCAAAGATCCTCTTGCCCAAAGCCTCAAACAAGTTTGTGGAATATGCTTCTAAGCAAAGCCCAGATGCTCCACGAAGTTGATAATCTAGAGAGAAGTGGGCAAGAAACATGCCAGATGCCCCCCCACCCCCGCTTTTCAGCTCTTTCTGGGGAAGCAGGATGTAGGCAGGGCCGGCTCTCACCCCGCCTCTCGATCCCCACCCTTTGGCTCCCACTGGCGTCTTAACCAGCCTCAAAGCCTTAAAACCAACTGGGCCCCCTCCAGACCGCAGCGACGGTGAACGGAGACACGTAGCACTTTCCCAGCACTGCACTGGGCCGGTCCCCCCAGCCGGCGCCAGCAGAGCGGTCACTTGGCCGGAGGGCGGCCGGCCAGGCGCTAGCAAGGGAGCGGGAAGATGCGAGAACCCGAGGGGTGCCGTCCATCCCAGAGGCGGCCGCCGAAGTGCGGAGGAAGCGCGGGAGGGCAAGCCCTTCCCTGCAGGGCTGGCTCAGCTGCCGGCACTTCTCCCGTACTGTCCCGCTCAGACAGAGCCTAGGCAGGGGTCCGCGGGAAGGGAGTGGGCGCCCCCGGGCCCTTCCAGTCCTACCTTCCCCGACTCCCTGGGCTCCATGGCCCCGCCGGCGCGGACCGTGCTGACCCCGCCACTGCCTCCAGGCCGCCCCCTCCCCCCGCGGCCCGGCCTGAGGATGATGCCGCCACGACCCACTTGGGGACCCCGGCTGCCGGAGGGGGAGGACGCCCTGCCGCGGAGGGAGCGCGGTCGAGAACTTTGCTCTGGCACGTCGGGGGCTGTAGCGCCAGAGGAGTGCGGAGAGGCGCTGAGCTGGGACCAGCGTCGTGCGAACGAACAGCTTTACGGCAGCCGCCTGGCCGAGGCGGCGGGGCATCACGGGAAGTGTAGTCCGGCGTGGGTGAGCGACTGTCGAGGCTTCTATTGGCTCCCGTAAGGCAGGGTCCTGATTGGACTCCGGGTGGTCGCTCTTTGCGCTTCTCACCTCCCTGGGCGATGGTTACTAGGCAACGGCCCAGGAGCCGTCTAGACCACGCCGTAAGGGCACAGCGCCCTGATTGGTCTGTGCCAACGTCAGCTTTGAAGATTCCAGGCTTTATTTAACCAGGAGGACAATACTTTTCCTTACATACATTTTTGTTTTTAATTTTCTTACATATTCGTACATGCATACAATATAACAATATAATCTGGCAAATTTCATAGGTTTTCAAAAGCATCATTGACAGTCTGCCACGAGAAAGGCACTGTCATAGGTTTCCTAGAGTGAAACACAGTCCTGACCCTCTAGGAATTTGTCGGAGTTTTTAGCCCCCTGTTCCCTCCTGACCTGTGGGAGAGATTGGGGGAGCACGCCCGGACCAAGAGGAACCAAGAAAGGTAAAGGTCGACTGGCACCCATACCCAGCCCTCCCTCCCGGAGGACAATCAGACACGCCAGGGAGAACAGTCAAAGCAGGATCTCCTTTAATGAGAAAACACACATAGCTAATATAATGTACAGGAGCCAATCAGGGTAAAGGTCAACAGGATGGGGAGAATTTACATCTACACCCATCCTACAGGCAGTAATGGGAGACAGGAGTGTTCTTGAGGGCAGAAGGGTTCTGAGCCTATCCATGGCAATACCTTCTGGCTAATTGCTAGGTGCTCTCTTAGCCACATGTGGCCCCAGGACTGGGAAGCGGGTAGCAGCCAGCAAGTTAAGTTTCCTGTTTTCTGGTGCAACATGCCCCATGTTACATCATGCCCTACAGGAATTCAGTCAAGAATTACAAGTGCCATGAAAGGGGTAAGAAGGCATAATTTGTTATCTTGGAGTGAGGTGGTAAGGGGGATATGGGAGAATTTGTCAAGGATTCCCTGGAAAAATGGTACCTGAACGGAATTAAAATAAGAGGTAGGCATTAGCCAGGTAAAGGAAGTGCTATGAATGGAATTGTATCCCTCCTCCCGATATACATGTTGAAGTCCTCCAAATGTCATATGTATGTAAGTGATTATAGTAGCTCCCCTTATCCATAAGGAATATGGTCTCAGACCCCCCCAGTTGGTGCCTGAATCTGTGGACAATACCAAACCCTACATATACTGTGTTGTCTCCTATACATACATACCTGTAATGAAGTTCATTTTTAAATTAGGCATAGTAAGAGATTAACAATAATAACAAATGATAAACTGTAATCCCAGCAGCTTGGGAGGCAGAGACAGGAGGATAGTGAGTTCAAAGCCAGCCTCAGCAATGGTGAATTGCTAAGCAACTCATTGAGACCTGTCTCTGATAAAGTACAAAACTGGGCTGGGGATGTGGCTCAGTGATTGAGTGCCCCTGAGTTCAAGATGTGCAAGATGTCATCACACTACTCAGAGAGGAACACAATACAAAACTTATAAATTGTTTATTCCTGGGGGCTGGAGTGGCTCAGTGGTAGAGTACTTGCCTGGCACTTGTGAGGCATTGGGTTTGATCCTTACCATCATATAAAAATAAATAGATAAAATAAAGGTATTGTGTCCATGTACATCTAAAAATATTTTTGAAAATTTTGTTTATTTTTTGAATTTTCCATTTAATATTTGTGGACTCTAGTTGACCACAGATAGCCTAAATGGTGGAAAGTAAAACTGGATAAAGGGGGATTTCTGTATTATAAATGTCTCTGTCAAATTAACTTTAGGACAGAAGGAAGCAGATGTGGTTGGGAAGAGATATGCAAGGTTTCTGGTGTGAGAAGTTTGCTATTTCCAGACCTGGATGATTGTTTTACAATTATTATTCACTAAATTATATGCTTATGTTTTATACATATGTTTTATGCTTATGTTTTATATGTGTATATATATACATACAAGTATTTCTTTTGAGTCCCAATTCAAAGCTTTAAATAAAAATAAAGCAAATATAGTTTATATTGTAAATATTTTATATATTGCCATACTAATTATAAAATATTCTGATGATCAGTCCTGGGTAGGTCCTGAGTGACTATTTTCTATTATATGACTCTGCTCTCCTGGTCAAGGTTGAATAGAGCTAAATTCAGCAGGGCCAATAAGAACACATTCTCTAGGAATGCAAGAGAGAGGCCATCCTTCCTTGTGGGTAGAGCTGTGTGCTGTGAGCAGCCACTTTCCTCGAGGTGCACTCAGAGAAAGAGGGGTCTGTGCTAATGAGGAAGAAGAATGAGACAGACACAAGTGAAGTGGATGAGAAAGCAGACAGTGAGGACTCTGGGTTCCAGGTGGCCTTCCAGTCTCGGGCTCCCTGGTCAGCTACGTCCCCACCTTGGAGAGCTATATTCTGCCCATGAGCTATTCTGATATTCTTATTTAAAAAGTCCTTAGTTCATAACCCACTTGAATCAAAGTGTGAAATATGATATATCAAGAACTATGTAATGTTTTGAACAACCAACAATAAAAAATTAAAAAAAAAATTAAAAAAAGAAAAAGTCCTTTTGGGTTTAAAGTATTGGAGATAAGGCAGTTGAGATATCTAGGGTAGATAAATAATTCAACAAAAATTTCCATGAAAGGTTTCCATTGTTCCAAGAAAAAAGGACAGTATCTAGAGGGAAATGTGGGGTCAAAACAGGAGGTCTAAGGTGGGAGACATAAGATCATGCCTTGTGTGATGGGAAGAAAGTGATGGTTTAACAAAGATGGATGATGCTATGACCCAAGCTCTTAGGAAGAAAAGAAGGGCTGGGGACAGAGTACAAAGGGCTCTTTCTAGGCTGCGAATGTTACCAAACTTGAGTTCTTGGGTCCAAGTTGTAGAAATGAGCGCTGGACCCAGGAAGAACCTCAGCACAGAAAGGTTTTAGTTAGGACCTTCTGCTTGAGCCAGAAGGGAGTAACAGCACTGGCTCAAGCAAAGAATGAAGCAGAGTAGGTTTTGTGGCATCCCTGGAGTAGGCAGGAACTGCATCTTTGGAAGTCAGCACACGAAGAAGTGGGACTTCAGATGTGCCTGCGCTCTGCCTCATCATGTGTCTTCTTGTGTGTTAAGTGTCCACCATGGGGTGCACATTCTGCTATGCTAATAAGGTAAAGGTAACTGTGGGTTACTTCAGTGAGTATGCTGTGTGTGAATTTGCCTCTCACCACCTGGAATTACTCTTATCATCTGGGAAAGTCTCTAATATCATTATTTTCCAAATAGTGCAGACCCCACTTTGTCTGGCTTCTGCTGACCACATAATCTCAGCAGAGCAGATTTCCCAGCCTCCCATCTCCTGGCGTGTTATTTCATTCCCACAGCCTGGAAGATGGGTTCACCTTTTAACTCTTGATTTCTTGATATGGCTGTTAACCCTCTAAGATCGAGAGCCTTAGAGCCTTAGAGCCTTACACTGTCTTATTTCCTCTGAAAAATATTCATCCCTTAGTGCTAAGGGGTCCTGTTTTTCATGAGGATCCCTGACTGGGTCAGGAATACTTCTAGCTTATGTGGAGGGAAGAAGGAGAAGACAGAGTAGATATAGGTTTACTTAAGTAGATTCCCTGAGAAAATTCTCAACTGATGACATCTCTTTGAGACAAGGTCATCTCATGAAAATGAAGCCAGGGAAAGAAGAGAGGTATGCATATTCATCTTGGAGAAGGGGAAATAGAACTTACTGGGGAGACATAAAAGATGGCCAAGTTCAATTTCAACCAGAGTTGAGATTTATGGTCACAAATTTAAGATAGAAACAACCTAGCTGCAAAATTCTGTTTTGAAGCCAAAACTGGGACAGATGTTTGAGTTAACTCTAGATTGTAATATTGCAGGTGGGTGGAAATGAGGGGAGAAAAAAGCAAGGGAATTAATGATATTCGCATCATAATGATAGAAAAGTGATTCTCAATTGCAGCTGCACATTAGAACTACCCATGGAGCTCTCAAATCCTGATTTAATAGGTCTAAGATGGGGACCAAGTATTGGCATTTTTAAAAACTCCTCAAGTACGTATAATTTGCATTTGGCACTACGTAGACTGTGAATCCAAGCTGAGTCATGAGAGAGGCGAGGAAGAAACAAATAAAAAGTAAATGTTATAAAGTCAGTGAATTTGAAATTACAAAAACAGCAAAAATGATAGCAGTAAACTACTAGAGCAAGTAAACTGGAATGATAGGAAATCATGACTGGTAAGTAAATATCTGAAGGTTTTTAAAGATGAGGTCTAGGTGTGGGAGTGGATTCCCAGGGTGGAGCCAAGGAGAAGGACATTGTAGGTGAGGAGGCAAAGAGTATAAGGTCAGTTTTTGTTTTTGTTTTTGAGATAGATTCTCTCCAAGTGCCCAGGTGACCTCAAATTTGCAATGCATTGGCCTGAGCCCCCCAGGTACCTGGGATTCCAAGTGAGCACCCCTGTGTCCAGTGAGATCAAAATTTTGATTTTTCACATGTTCATTCAAACACTGAGCATGGGTGGAAAGGAGGACTGAACCATTCTATAGAATTCTTCTGTAATGGTGAGGAGTGCCCAGTGGGACAGTGGGGAGCAGTATAGAGTGTTGTAGCCACACAGGCAACACAGGAAGAGATCTCTTGCAGGAAGAAGAGCCGGAACTGGCCCAGGAGAAACAACGTGAACCTCACAGAAGTCAAGTGTCTCTCTTCCTGGCTCTGAGGTGGGATGTGAAAGAAATATTAGCTTCCTGGTAAGGTGGAGGCTTCAAGGAATAGGATCCTAGTGTTAGTCATGAAACGGTGGTGGAAGAAACTTCCAAAGATGTTGACAGTCGGGCAGCCTCTACTATAGACAAACCAGGAGCCAGAGAGCACAGTGTGGGCTGGGAGGGAGGATGTGGGGATGCTGGCTCAGAATGGGGGTTTCACAAGCAAGTGGGTGATGAGATGTGATGTTATGAAACAAGCAAGGGGTTAGCTCTTTTAAAGAACAAAGAACTCAGTGGGGACATGGAACAGTGGTCTCTTGGAGCATTGATTGTTGTCCCCAGTACTTGGCTCAGTAGTGTAGCTTCAGGCCACTTGCTTTCTTTGGGTCTATAGAGTGGGATGGGACTTTGGGGTGAATAAAACAAGGAGAGCACTTGGAGGTGGGTGGAGTGGTGGGAAAGTGAGAAGTGCTCTTTTGGACATGATGGATTTGGGACCTAAGTGATATCCAGGTGGATGTTCTAGTTGACAGTTGGATACGCAAATATATGTTAGTGTCACCTGTCCAGGAGGACAGATATCAGGTAGGTAATCAAATTATAAAAGTTGCTTGACTTAGGGATGTCAGTCCTTTGGCACATTTTCTTTCCACATTTCTGATGGTCCTTCCCCATGGAAAATTATATGTGATCAAGAATCAGTAATTATCAATGGTTGGCTATTGCCACCAGGTGGGAAGTAGGGTCTTTGAAGCCAAACTGGGACTGTTGACGGCTATGAAAAACTTCCATGGCAGAAGACCTTCTCAAATGGCTCTCAGAGAACCCCACCCTGATCTCCAGGACCTGTGGATCTGATGAGATTACTTCCATGGTTGTGTGATATGGCACTGTTGACCTTAGAATGGGGGTTCCTGGCTTAGGCAGGTGGACCTAACATAATCATAAAAGCCCTATAAAAAGTAGATTTTTCTCCATATGGGGCAAAAATGGAGTCAGAGAGATTTGAGGCCAGAGAGAGAGATGCAAGGTGCTCTTGCTGGCTTAAAGAAGGAATACTGAGAGATGAGATGACAGTCAGCAGGAAGGGGTGACCTCAGTCCCACAGCTACCAGGAACTGAATTCAACATCCTGAGTGAGTTTAGAAATAGATTGTTCCCTAGAGCCTCCAAGTAAGAGCCTGATGTGTCACCAAATTTGATTTTGGGTTTGTGAGTCCTAAGCAGAGAATCTGACTCAGCTATGTAAGGCTCTTGTTCTACAAACCTATAAGAAAATTAATGGAGATTATTTACATTTGTGGGGATTTGTTACACAGCAACAGTTACCTGAACAACCACAGAAACAGTGCTTTTGAGGGGATGCCCATGCACATTGCTCTCTTGTTTTATGATAGGGATCTGTCACCATTTCTGCCATGGTTGATTCTGGTGCACCCAGATATGTGGGAGGGTCACCACTGACTGCCATGGCTGACTTAAGGTGGACCACTGAATTCCCCGGAGGGGGAGGATGATGGTTTACTGCATTACATCAGGTACAGGAGAGATACTGGAGATATAGGAGAGATACTGGCTAAGGACTTGGAAATTCTAGGGATTGTGAGAAGGATATAAGCTATGAAGGAATTGAAGGTGTTCATCCCTACTGGTCAAGAAAGAAAGAGGAGCTAAGCAGGGACTGATAGATTTAGAAAATGGGAGGACTCAGATGCTGGAGGAGCATGATGAAGATAAACGAGGGGTGTAGGTGACCAGATAGGAGCTGGATGTGCAGAGAAAAAGGAGGGGGGAAGGCTTTGCAGGAAGTAATGGTTTCTAGGAAACATATGGAAATTGGATACGCCTAGTGGTAGCCCTTTCAGGAATCCCACCAACTTGTATGACTGACCCCATGTATAGCCTTGTGTACAATTCAGGTCCCAATGTTCACTTACCCAAGAGTCCCCCTTCCTGTGTCCCATGTCTATTAACTAGAGACTCTTACTTTCCAACTATCTTAGGTCCTCTCTCCTTTGCCAATAGCTTTAACTGGATGGGACTCTGGCCTGCAGGGTGTCTGAGGACTATGATTCAGCATCACCAAGTCCCAGAGCAGAAGTGGTTGGCCTGGCTCCCACCCTTTCCGTCCTGGAAGTGGAGCCTGAGACAAGAACTTGGTCCTAGAAAGGGATCTCACAGGGACTTGGGAAAGGAAGCAGGGAAGAGGAAGAACTGACACAAAGGTGCATTTTAGAGATCACCCTGTGGTGACTTGGAGTGTAGCTCAGTGGCAGAGTGCTTACCTAGCATGTGCAAGGGTGTGGGTTCAATCCCCAGTAAACCCCAGAGAGAGAGAGAGAGAGAGAGAGAGGAGAGAGAGAGAGAGATCAGTGGTATGAGCACTGGGGGCTTGGTTGCACTTCTCAGAATTGTACAGGATGCTCGCCATGACTCTCTGAGGAATGGGAGGGGGTGCATTTATCTGCAGCTCTCATCCTGAGTGGTTGAGGGTCACCCCAGAGACATGAACTACATCCCATCGCTGCACTTGTATTCCTTCCTGGCTACTCTTGTGCAGTCTGTGTGTCAGAAAAGCCCAGGGCAGAAAGAAAAAGAAGCTTGGAAAGAGGATATCAGAAAACAGCTCATGAAAAAAAAAAAATGCTCAACATCATTGGTCATTTAGGAAATGTGAATCAAAACTTCACTGAGGCCTGGCATGGTGGCACCTGCCTATAATCCCAGCGCTTGGGAGGGTGAGGCAGGAGGATTGAAAGTTCAAAGCCAAAGTTCAAAGCCAGCCTTAGCAACCTAGTGAGGCCCTAAGTGCCTTAGCAAAAGTCTATCTCAAAATAAAAAATAAAAAGGGCTGGGGATGTAACTCAGTGGTTAAGCCCCCTAGGTTCAATCCCTGGTACCAACCAAACAACAACAACAAAAGACAGAGACGGGGGTGGGGGCACAGGGAGAGGGAGAGACATAAAAAGGAGGAGGAGAAGCAAACTTGTTCCTGAGCTTCCATGGAATTCTGTAATGTGCTGCAGCTGAAATCACATTCAGTGGAGGGATATGACCTGGCGCACTGTAGACTCCTAATGGGAGAGGTCTTCAGATTATATTCAGCCTTATCCTGCTATAGAGGAGGACACCAAAGCCCTGTTATGGAAAGTGTCTTTCCCAGGTTCACCAGTCACCATGAATGCCATGGTGAATCCATGACAGATTCACAGAGGTCCTCAGAAGACCAAGTCTTTGTGCTGGGCTAGGCAGGGCTCAGAGCCACCCTTCCACGGCCTTCCTACCAGTTCCTGGATGGAGACTCTACACATGGACTTGCTGCCAGTGTGATTTTATTTGGGAGGATGGGGGATGGATGGGCATGGGAGGAGATGATCAGTGCCTGTGAGTCCAAATGTCATAAGAGGGACAGCAGTGGACGCATCTGGTGGAACCTGTCAGCGCTTTGAGAAATCACCTGCTGGAGGACAAGAAGAGGAGAGATAGGCTAGCAAGAGAGGGAAGGGGATTGAAAGCAGGGCAGCAGAAGCTGGCATCTGCTCTTCCACTGTGTGCAACCCAGGAGGCATCGGCACCCTTCCGTCTGTGTCTCCCTCATCTGCCACACTGTGACCTCAGTTATATACCAGGTACTTCATACTCATGGTCTCATAAATCGGTTAAATAAGCTGAGGTCGTTGGGGGCTCTACAGAGTCACAGAGGAGCTTGAACCAGGTATGAGTTACTCCAAACACCCAAGTTTATGTATGATCGGAGAAATAAAGAGAATCCAGAGAAGGGGACAAGATCGCATTGTAAGAACTTAAGGAAGATGGAAGTGTCTAGGAACTAACTGTCCGCGTCCCTGGCCCCTGGGGGGGAGGGGTGGTGGGGGTGGTGGGGGGGGGGGTGGGGGGTGCAGACACACCTTGGCAGGCGCTGCACTGGCAACTGTTGATGACCGGCAGCACCACTGGCTCGGTGCGGCCATCTGGACAGCGCAGGTTCAGGATCCTTACAGGGCTGTCGGGGTCCAGGCGGTAACTACAGCAGTCGCACTGGCTCTGCAGGTAGGGCTCCTGGGCGAGACAGGGTGGTTGAATTGGGGAGGGACTAAACCGTTCCTTGGCCTTTCCCATCTGAGGTGGGAGTATTGATCCCAATCCTCCTAGACAAGCAGGGTAGCTGAGCTGGGAGGGAAGTGTCACCAGCAAGCCCCACTTCCCAAGAAACCGCCCTCTTCACTTCTGCCAGCCTGAATGGTCAACAACCTTCAGGTTAAAAGAAAGCAGCAGGGGAAAGACATAGCCACCCCCCCACCCCCCGCAAGGGGCTTAGGGTCTGGTTGGATAGATGGGCTGATAATATTGAAACCCTAATTAAACCCTAACTGCAATTCTGATCCAGTATAAAGTGAGCTCTCTTTCCAGAACAGGCCCCTTCTTGCCCTTCAACGCTATAGTGATCTTTTTACAAGTAAACTAGTTATAATTCCATGTGTGTGTGTGTGTGGGGGTATTCGGGCTCAAACCCAGGGCCTTGCACATGCTAGACAAGTGCTCTACCACTGAGCCACATCCCCAGCCTTATTCTTCTCCTTTGAGACAGGTAATACATTCACATAATACCATGTTACAAAACTACAAAGATTATTTGATTATATCTCCCAATTACTTTCTTCACTACATTTTTAAAATTCCAAAAGAGATTTGGGAAAGCATCTCTAGGAGGTGCAGAAGTGGTTGAGGGCTGAGGGGCTGCATCTTTGGGGACCAGGTTGGAAAGCACCTTTGTCATTCAGGTCTCAGGGTAGAAGTCCTGGTGACAGGACCCCAGGGGCACCATCTGACCTGAACTCTGGGCCTGTAAGCACCCTCTGGCTCACCTCAGGCATGACGTTGGTGCTAGATGGGCAGTGCCCACTGCAGTAGCTCACTTCTACCTGGTCCAGATGGCAGGGGCCCTTGGTGAGGTTACGAAGCTCAGTGAGATGCCGGCAGGAGGCTGACTGTGCCTCTGTGTGTGGAAGGGTCACGTAAAAGTGGCAGGAGGTGGAAGCAGGGCAGAGGGGGAGGCTAGGACTAAGGGGATCCTGGGAAGGGGGTGTGTGGGGGACAGGGCCTGGGACTCTGTGGGGTGGGGGTGGCCAGCTGCTGTGATGCAGCCCTATAGAGCTTCATCCTCTAATCCCTATATGAGCAGCCTGGGCAAGGTGGGCACACACCAGGCTAAAAAGTTGGGGTGTAGGGGCAGTTGGGGAGAAAGGAGATGCAGAAGTGGTTGAGGGCTAAGGGGCTGCATCTTTGGGGACCAATACCCAGGTCCTACGTACCAAGGGTCTCCCTGCGGCAAGTGGGACAGCAGCTCCCTGGCTCCTGCACAGTCACCTCGTCCTGCAGAGTGGCCCTTGCGTGAGTCAGAAGGATGGCCCCATCACCCACACCCCACACAGCCTATGTAGAACCCTAAGATCAGTCATAGATGAGGACCCCTGAAGAGCCTAGGAGCCACCTGGAAGCGTTGCAGAGCCCAGGGGGTACCTGAGCACAGTTGAGGAGGGGGCAGTGCTGGGTGCAGACGCTCCTCCCGCGGAGGCATCGGCAGCTCTCACAGTCCTCCTGCCATTCAGATCCAAGCTGGGAGTGGGGGGTGGGGAAAAGTCACCTCTTGGTCTCTCCCAGTTTTCCATGGTAACATCCTGGGCCTGAACCCAGCCTGGGAGCACCCAGCCAGGACAGTGGTCTAGGACTGGAGTCGGGTGATGAGTCTCAGGTAAGTGACAAGCCCTAGGGGCCAGAGCAGGGGTCCCACCCAGGGCTAGATTCTGTCCCTTGAGATGGCCAAGCCTGGCTCCACTGCTGTAGGTCCTGGGAGTAAGGGCAGCCAGGGAAGTTACAGATACTCAGCAGGTGGGGCGGTCTGGGGTCAGGCAGGGGGACACGTCTTACCAGGTGGAGATGCCCGTGGTGCCAGCATTCACACTGGTCTGCGGGGACGCAGGGGCCCGCCTGGCTACGGAAGTACCCTTCCTGGCATATGCATCCCGGGGTCTGGACAGCACTGCAGTTGCCCTGAGCTGCTGTGGTGTTTGTCTCCTGGCATGTCCACTCACAGGGACCCAGCTCTTCAGGACCCACGTGCTGCCACATTTCCCCAGGGGGGCACTCTGTAGAGAAGACCATCCACCCACTCTCTGGTCAGCCCTGGGCCCAGCCTCAATCCCCTGCCCTGCTGGGCAGCCCTCAGACCCCTCTTCTTCCTAAGTGATTCTCCTCAGCTCTAGCCACCTGCACCCACCCACCCACCCAAATAGCTGGGCCCAGGCCAGGTCTCACCCCCTGGCCATCCTGCCACCCTGACCTCTGTGTTCTGGCACCAAGTTCACATGCTGTGACACTGCCTGCTTGTCAGTGCCCTAGGCGTGATCTCCTGTCTCTACCTGTTCTGGTGGTGGCCCCCTCTTGCCAGCCAGGCTGGGCGTGCCTGGGGCTGGCCGTGTCTTCCTCTGAATCCATCGAGATCTGTGGATTGTTTTGCTTACCGCTCTGGGCCTCAATGTCCTCAACAGCAGGACAGAACCTTCCACAGAGAACCTGGCCTCACCGGTGGCCCTGGCTCAGTGTGCACATGTTCTTGGTGAACACCCTACAGGTGGGGCGGTGTGACAGTGCCTAGGAGTCCTGGGCAGGGACTGCTGGGCCTCAGGGCAGGGAGGGGGCAGTGTGGACAGAGAGGGAAGGGGCTTCCTGAGGAGCTAGCTTAGCTTCAGCCCTGCTCAGGCCGGCCAGCCTTGGCGTTGAGGGGCATGGACAGCCACATCTCACCCTGACAGTCGATGAGGGAGCAGCTGAAGGCTCCATCTTGGCAGGTACTGGGAGGACAGAAGCACAGCTCAGAGCCTTTTGCACAATCCTCCCCTCCGCCCTCTCAGCAACCCCGTCCTCACCCGGCTCCCCACTCCAAGTCTCTGGGCTCACCAGCGGGTGCAGTTTCTGGTGAGCACAGCCCCCGGAGGCAGCTCCCGAGCCTGCTCTTCAAGAGTCAGGGTGAGGCCCCAGGGCAGCAAGAGCTGAGTGCAGGGACAGGCAGCAGGGGGCACGCACGTGCCATTGTGCAGCAGCTGAGGAGGGCAGGCTTGCTTGAATGTGGACACTGCCTCTTACCTCCCAACCTGCCCGCTTCCCCAGGCAGGAGTCAGGACCCAGCAGCCGTACCCACCTGTCCCCTGGGGCAGCCACAGCCCGGTTGGCAGGGTTCCTGCGTACAGATGGTGCCAGGCTGCAGGTGTGAGCAGAGGCTTGGGCATGATGCAGCACAGGCACTGAACACCTGGCCTGAGGGGCACTCTGTGGGGAAGTGGGAGTGTCCCAGGATGAGGCTGATGGGACTTCCCAACCTCCGCCTCCACTCAGGTAGGTCAGGGCCTGGATCCAGCAGTGATGGAGGGACGGAGGGAGGGATGGCAGGCCCCTGGGCCCAGGGTGCTCACCAGGGCAGGGCTGCAGGTTACAGTCTTGCTGTTGTTTCATGTCTTGGGCCTGGCATAGTGCCCCCTGAGGATGTTCCTTGCAGCTCCGATGACGGTCCATGGTGCCCCCACCACAGGCAACTGAGCACTTGCTCCAGGCTGACCAAGGCCCCAAGGTTGGACACTCAAGGTGTGGGCACACTAAAGACCCATTGATGCAGGTGCTATAGACAAGGGACAAAGCAGGGGGAACAAAACCTCACTCCTCTGCAGGGTCCACAGCCCTGACCTGCCCCACATCTCCTACGCCAGGGCATCACTATGGCAGCTCACCAGTTGTGGCAGTCCAGTTGCACCACCTGGGCTGGGGCCAGCTCCCAAGAGGCATTGGCACTGGGAAGGCCACAGCGGCAAGAGGAGATGGGCACACAGTGCCCATCCTGCACCAGCTGGCCAGGAGGACAGCGGCAGCCTAAAGGTAGAAGTGGGGAGGACAAAGAAGATTTGGTGCTCAGGCAAGGCTTACATGGTGGGTCCCTCCAGCAGCCACACCTGGTGCAAATATGGGTCTGCACAATCTCTCCCACTGCTGCACAGGAGACACTACTCTAGCCTGCCCTGTGTACGTGATCACCATCCTGTCACCCTTATAGCACCTGTGAGCCTCCTCATAAAAGCAGGGCTTGATAAAGCCTTTGTGCAGGACTCAGAGCTGGTTACTACAAGTAAGGACCCACTTTTGTACTCTATGATGACCTGGCAGTCTGATCTTACCCCCCACCCCATAGCCCACTCGATCTTCGACCCAGGTCTCACACTTTCTGGAAGCAGGAGGTAGTGAAAGGGAACCAGGCATCCCCAGAATTCCCAAGCCAGGCTGAGCACAGCTGGCTACCTGGACTGCAGGGTCCCTGCAGACATTGCACACGCTCCCAGAGGTCCATGCAGCTTCGAGGGCATTGATTGGCACATTCAAGGGTGGGCACAGTGTCCTTAGCCTCACAGCTTTTTCCTGGGGCCCAAAAGGCAGGAATCTGTGTTGGGGACACTCTTGGCATCCAGGACAGTGGCCCCACTTGTCCTGTCCAACTCCAGGACAGAGGCACCAACCCTGTGCAGTGCTATTTCTGAATGCAGTCCTGGCAACCCTTTGGATGCTGAGATGGCATTACCTGGGCAGGGCCCCATATTGCAGCTCTGGGTCTGAGCCCATGGCCCACGGCAGGCTCCTCCAGGGAGGCCCCCTGCCTCTCTCCAGCGCATTCGGAAGCCTCCACTGCAGGGCACCTGGCAGGGGCTCCAGGGTCCCCAAGGGTTCCACTGGCATGAGTCTGGGAAAGAAACTGTAGGTCAGTGTATTGACCCCACCTCCTTCCCTGCCTTAGACTGTGGACTTGACCTCTGCAAACATGTCCTGAAGCCCTGCCAGGCTCCCTTTTTCCAGCTGCTGCTTGGACCTTACCCCAGCCTCGAATCCAGCAGGCCCCAGAGGCAAGCAGGAGGGCTAGCAGGTTGGCTAACTCCTGTCCACTGGAATGAACTTGTGGTCCAGCTTCCCACCCCCTTATGCCATTCCAGGCCTGTTCCTTCCTGTTGGCCTCTGCCCCTTCTCACTACCTTGACAGGCTTCGGGGTCAGGGCAGAGGCGTTGCTGGTTAAGGGGTGCAGTGCAGAGCTGAGGGTCCCCAGCCCAGGGCCTCCCTGTCTCAGGGTCCAAACACAGGCGGTGGCGGTGCTGCTCCGAAACCAGCAGGGATGTCGAGGGTGGCCAGAGGCCTGTTGTGTTCGGAGGCCAGTGCTCCTCCAGGGTAGTCCTGGAAGTACGGGTCAGGACACTTCGGGGCAGGCAGGGCCCACAGGGTGACCATTCAGACCAGCTGCTCAGAGGCAGGAGCCCTGGAAGGGCAGGATGTTTGTGCACTTCCCAGGGACCCCTTAACCCAGAGACCCCAGTGGGCAGGGAGGGTGCTCAGGTTTATGATTAGGAAGAACAGGAAATAGGAAAGACTGAAGGAGTTAGGGGCAGGGAAGGGTCCCCTTTATCTGGGATTATCCCAGTTTTAGCACTGAAAGTTCCTGGAAACCCCACCCTGGGCAAATGGGGACAGTTGTCTCCCCAGGCCAGGGTTACCTTCACAGCCCCAGCTGGTGCAGCGCAGTTCTCCGTGCCAGCATTCGCTGTGGAAAGGCGACATCAGAGTGGGCTCTGGCAGGCAGGACCCAGCCCAGAGCTGTGTGTGTTGGAGGGTTCCTTTGGGGATAGCCTGAGCTCTGGGTGTATTTGGGGCAAGATGAGGGAGCTGTAAAGTCTGGAACCTTAGGGCCACCTGCCTGCAGGCTGGGTTAGACCTGAGGGCTTAGCTTGGCCTTCTTTGCTAGGCCAGGCTGCCTCTTGGGGGGACCCTGCTCTACTCCCTGGCCTTAGCCTTCTGCCTCTCATCACCCCATCACTCACCATTCCTTACACCCCAGCTGCAGGTGGTCCCCAGGGGCCAGTGTCACCTCAGCTCCCTCTTCTGAGATGTGCCAGCAGTTACATTGCTCGGGGGGAATGCAGGCCCCAGCCTGCTCCAGCAGCCCCTGTGTGGAAGGAGAGACATGACAGGGCTATGTGGTGATCACTGTGTCACCCGAATGCCCAGCACCATGCTGACCGGCAGCAGGTGCCCATGCGGTCACTAAGTGAATGAATGTGGGAATGAACTCAGCTGGGAAGAGGTTTTGAGGGTTTGGAAGAGGTGGGGGTCCCCCAGGGCATCACAAAGAGAGGACACTCTTCTTCTTGGGGTGTCCCCAGCTCCCAGCCCTCACCTTGGGGCAGTAGCAGCCAGGCTGGCAAGGTGGTAGGTCCTGGCAGAGCTGTCGGCTCAGGTGTGTGGCACAGAGCCCGGTGCAGGGGGAGCCACAGGCCTGGAACTCAAAGGGAGGTGTGCAGCTGTCCTCTGGGGGGAGGCAGGCTGTTGGGGCAGCAGCCCAGAGACACCCTCTCCCACACCCCAGCACATACTGCGTGATCCCAGGGAGGCTCCTGGGGTCACCTGGTGAGAGTATAAGACTGCCCCTGCTGTGTCCCCCATCTGGAACCTGCTGGGCTCCTGTGTCCCCCCAGGGGAGGATCAGTATGGTCTGGACCTCAGAGAGCCAGGTAATGGTACAGAGGAGGGAGCTGAGGGTTGGGCCTGGTGGGTGCTCCAGGGACTGGCAGGGACAAGATGGAGGGCAGCTTCAATGGGAGCTGAGAGACACATTGTCACTGGGACAGCTACATGGGACAAAGCCACATGAGACCAGTAGCTATGGAGTGGGGAAATCTTGGTGTGTGCCTGTGGGGCAAGAGTAGCTGGCAGGGACAGTAAACAGGCACCGGGGCAGGGGTCAGTGCAGGCATAGAAAACTGTCCTGGGGTCTAGGGGGCCCAGGGTTTGTGACAGGAGCCACTGCTGCTCCTGCTCAGCAACCTGGCTTCTGGCTCCTGGGCCTCACCTGAGCAGTTGCCAGTCGGGCATGGCCGGAAGTGGCCATCCAGGCGGGTGCAGGGGGGGCCCTCTGCCATGCGGCCAGGTGCTGGGCCCTGGTGCCGGTAGCGCTGCTGCACCAGCACCTGGCATGAGCAGCGCGTCCAGCTACTCCAGCCACTCCACAGGCATTCCTCTAGGGACAGGGGGTACCGGGGGGACATCAGCAGGCACCTCTCTGGCTCCCCCAGCCCCTGCCCTGCATCCTCCCCTCTCGCCCTCCCCTGGCTGGGACCCTGCAGAGGACACGGGCAAGAGGGAACCAAGGGTTAGAAAGGTCCCACTGGGTGGACTCTGTCTCCCTGGGGAGGAGGTCAGGTAGCAAAGGGCTTGAAGGGAAGAGGAAAGAAACCAGCCAAATGTTGGGGGGATGGATATAGGTATATATTGGGGGTGCTGGGGGCGGGGACAACACGTTATTCCCTGAATTTCCCCAGGTGGGAGCAGCGGACAGGGCTCCACTTCCTCGCCATACTCACCCAGGCAGGGCCCCGCGTAGCAGGCCTGGGTGTCCAGGTGTGGGAAAGTGCCGTTGCATGTGGGCTCTGCCTCCGCCGGCAGGCAGGGGCAGGACCCGGAGCGGGAGGCCAGGCCTGAGCCACAGCTGCGCGAACAGGGGCCCCATGGACCCCAGGAGCAGGCCTCCAGCAGCGGCTGGCATGGCTGCTGGCCACAGGGCTGGGTCTGGGTGTCAGGGCCCTGGCAGAGCGGCTCCCTGTGGTGAGGGTCCGGCACCATGCATGCCCGGGTGCGCACCTGGTTTCCACCTCCACAAGAGACAGGGCAGTCGGACCACAGGGACCACAGCGTCCAGCTCCCTGTCAGTGTGGGAGGGCATAGGTAGTTAGAGGAGTGAGGTAGGCAGCAAAGATCAGAGGGTGGGAGGGACCATCATGACCAGGGCAGCAGTTGGGTGGCAGGGGTAGGAACACAGGACACAGAGTGGACGGCCTGAGAGACATGAGGCTAGTAGGAAGGGCTGAGGTGGGTGCCACGCAGGGTGAGTGCGTTGTGTGCAGCTGCGGGAACAGGGGAACCATGGCGACCAGGGGCCCCAGCCCCCTGCGATGAACCCCAGACCTGGACACTTGGTGTCTTCACAGATTATGCCCTCCGGAGTACAGGAGCTGAGGAAGGAGTCCATGCTTAGGGTACCGCTCTCCAGGACAGTAGGGTCACCCTTCCTGCCTTGAACTTACCACTGCTGGCACTCTCCCTGTAGCCAGCTGTCCCCCAGGGTGCGGGGACGGCCCTCATGGAGGCACAGGGGTGGGCACGGAGGCTGAGGGCAGGGCTGGCTCTGGGACTTCTCCTCTTGACACTCCGGGGCCCACGAGCCTGATGTGGACGATCTGGCAGGGCCCAGGGTGGAAGAGATGAGCAACAGCTCTGGCCTTCACTTCCCCTTCAGGCCTTGGGGTGATACCCCAGGGAAAACGCCAGGGTGGGCACAAGGGAGGCTAGAGTAACCAGGACACAGGTGGACCAGGACATGGGATGAGAACAGGACCCAGGAATGGCATATCAGAGAGGGGACCAGGCCAAGGGAGACCCGGGCAGGACAGGGGACGTCTAGTCTTGGTGGCCCTCTACCGAAAGCGACTCTGCAGTCCTCTTGGCCCACATGAGTGGCTGCAGGGACTCCAGGCTGACCAGCGGCTCCAGGCACAGTGGGCAGGAGGTGGGCACGGCTGAGCTGTGCAGGACAGCTGCCCGGCCTGGCAGGAGCAGTTGTTACAGGCATCTTGGTGCTGGCTCCCTGGGGCCCAGCTGTGGCCCTGGGCATCTGTACACTCACAGTGCCCAACTGGCACACAGCTGCTGTCCTGCTCTAGGGACCCTGTGGGGAGATGGCTCTTGAGGGCTGGTGCTGGCCCCTGGGGCCCTCCTGCCTTCCCACTGAACACCTGGATGTACCCTCAGCACAGCGGCAGCCCCACTGGCAGGCCTGGCCATCCTGACACAGGACTCCCTCCTGCAGGTCTGAGCAGCGGCGAGGACAGCGGTTGGCACAGCTGACCAGCTCCATGCCTGCTGGGCAGCCCTCCTCTGGGTGGAGGGGGAGGCCAAGTGTCAAGAGGACCCTGAGCATCAGGGCTCAGGACCCCTCCCCTTGCCTGTCCAGGACCTCCGTATCTCTAGAGGCTAGAGGGCCCATCCTCTCTTTGATGTTGGTGTCCATAGGTGCATGGTGACCTTGGGACAGTGAGCTCCCCTTACCCACTGGGGTGTTCTCAGCACCTAGCTGGGCACGAAGTGTTCATTGAGTGGGACTGAATTTATGCATCTCAGAGCTACCTTGAGGCTCCGTTGGGCTTGTTCCCAGGGGCCTGGCTGTGTGCACTGTGGGCTGGGAGTTTCCTAATGGAGGAGGAAGGGACCAAGTAGCCAAGGCCTGTTGGGGTCGTGAGCTGGGGGGGAGCGATGAAAGGAGCTGAAGTGGGGAGGGCTGGGGGACAGGGCTCAGCTGCAGGCTCCGCCACACCCCAGGAGGACCAAGCATGCTTCTACCGGCTCACCCTCAAATCCTCTGAAAATCTTGTCTGAGCTTGGGGGTTCCCCAGGAGAGTGGGGAAAGCTGGGAGTAAGTTCTACCCAGGGTGGGTGGGTGATCAGGGTGCGTCCTGGTGGCTCATCCTGGGCCACGCTGTGCCCAGGTACACACAGGGACTTCCTGCCCCGTGCTCAGGTCAAGCTACTCATCTCTGGATCTCTGTTTTCTTAACTGGCCAGTGAGGTATCAGCCTGCCCCCCACTATCCCATGGGTCCTGTGGGTGTTGTGGGGATGGAGTTAGAAGTGGGGGTGGACATGCTTTAGAGACCGAAGCCCAGTAGGGATGAGAAGCGGGTGTCACCACTGCTATACCACAGGGCATGGGATTGCAGAGCCGGGCCTGGTGTTTCTCCCCCACACAGGGGGCACCCCCATTCTTGGGTGGGGGGCTCGAGCAGCTTCGGCTCCTCAGGGATTGGCCCCCACCACAGCTCCGGTCACACCAGGACCAGGGGCTCCAGCGCGACCAGCCCCCAGGCACTGTGTTGGAAAGAGAGCTCCGTCAGGGGTTGGCTCAGGCAGGTCCCCACACATTCCATGAGGCTAAGCCTGGGTCGGGCATGGGAGACGGATGTGGCACGTCGGGCAAGCTGGGCACCTCGGAGGAAGCAGGATGCCAGGCCTCTTATGGGCAGGTCTGGGGAGGGGTGTGGGATGGGTGTGCCCTGATCGTGTGTGCCGCCTCACCCGGGCAAGCACGCAGGCTGCAGAAGCGACGCTCCTGGTAAGCAGTGAGGATGTCCGGGCACCAGTGTCCACCCGGCCCTGGGGGACGGTATGCTCGTAGGCGGCGCTGTTGGCCCACCCCGCAGCTGCGCGAGCACGGTTCCCATGGGCCCCAGGAGGTCCAGGAACAGTTCCCAGGCCCACAGCCAGGGCCGGAGCACAGGGGCTGCAACTCTGCAGAACAAAGTGAAGCTGGAGCCAGCAAAGCCTGCCCCGCCTCTCCTCCCTGGCCCCAGCTCAAGTGCGGACTTCCTCCAGTGCAGCCAGCTGTGACCTCATCCGGACCAAGGGCTTCTGTTCTGGATCTGGTGCTGATGGTTGTGTGGCTTCAGCAGCTGATCCTTGATGACTCTTTTCTCATGGGGACAGTAATCCCCCACTCACAGGGCTACTGAGGGACTGGGTGGTCTTGTGGAGAGTGCTCAGCACATACACGAGTGAGCACCGGGCAGACAGCAGGGCTCCTGCAGAGGACCAGTGGTCCTGTTCCAGACACTGATGTGACATGAGACATCAGTGTCAGAAATTGGTGTTGTCTGAGTGGTATCAGATATCGGGGATGGGGGGCTGGACACTGGCTGTGTTAGGAGAGGGGCAGCAGTTAGAGTCCGAGGTTGAGGCTGGACGGCGCACCTGTGCACGAGGGCAGGTTGCAGGGGCGCTCCTGGGAGGGGCGCCCCACAGTGCAGTTGGTCAGGCAGAGGCGGGTCCGACTGCGCCATGCGGGGTGAGTGGGGTCCGTGCAGCTGCGGGAGCAGGGGGACCACGGAGCCCAGGGGCCCCAGCCACCTGTGGGGAGGGAACCTCCTGCTAAGTCAGCCCTGGGCTCGGTCTCTCCAGAAGTCGTGATGGGATGGGAGGAGGCCCTGGCAGGCCCCAGGGAGGCCACATGGGGAGCTGCAGGGAGTCTGAGGTACCTGGAAGGCCCGTCACTGGCTCTGCCGTGGACCCTTCAGCCCCTGTGTCAAAGGAGACCCTGCTCAGAAATGTTTTGGAGCCTGCAGTGCGCCAGGCCCCAGCCTGAGGTGGGTGCTCAGCGCCAGGCCTGCTTCACCTTCCCTCGGGGTGACTGAAGGCCCTGGACACCCAGCCCCGAGCTCACACCCTCGCAGGGCGCCAAGGCCTCTGTTCAGGCCGCTCTTCTGCCTGCTGTTCCTTCTTTTCCAGTGCCCATCAGAACGCTTTTTCTCTCTCAAAACCCTTCTCCTCCAGAAGCCCCCCTTGGCTTCCTTACCAGGGCAGTCCGGGCTGAGGCAGTACTCGAGGTCCTGGCGGGGCCCTTGGCAGCCCTGGCCACCAGTAGCAGGTGCGGGGTGCACACACTGGCGGCTGCGTGTGCGGGTGCCCAGTCCGCCACAGGAGCGGGAGCAGGGGCCCCACGGGTCCCACGGGCTGAAGCTGGGGGCCTCGGGGCAGTCCTCTATGGAGCAAGACAGCTTCCCATGGGCACAGGAGCTGGGGAGAGGCAACCCACGTAAGGGACAGGGCAGGGTGGACTGGGAGAAGTGTGGGTCAGAGTCTTGAAGTCAGCCAGGTGGGGGCAGGGGACAGGGAGGAATTCCCTGGGCTCTCATCCTTCTTTGGCCCCAAGTTTCCCCACACACCGCAGCACAGTCCCGCCCTCGGCATCCCCCTCACCAGTTGCTGCAGCCCATTCGAAACATTTGGCCTGGACTCAGCTCATCTCCGGGCCTGAGGGGCTGACCCTCCTCTCCCAGAGAGGCTGCGTGCACCCCAGCATCAGTGCTGCTGGCTCCCAGCTCCCGAAGCAGCAAGGCTGTCAGCATGCAGGGGCACTCCTGGGTGGGACAGAGGGGACAGCAGTCACCCAGGACAACTGCTCACGGGGCACCTTAAGGGAGCCTTCTTAAGGGAGAAGAAGGAATAGCAGTGTAAGGACCTAGAGGGCTCTGGGTCCCAGGAGGGCACTAGTGGATGCCAGAGGGACAGGGGACCTGGGTCAGGGGCATAAACACACCATGAGAAATACACAGGCCATGGGCTTGGCCTAAGGGATCAGCCACCTTCCTGAGTAGGGTGCTCAGGAGGACACAAGCAGGCCCTGAGGTGACAGGATATGGAGGCAGAGGGAGCCTCAGACAGGAATCAGAGGGATCAGGGTGACTGAGTTTGGGTGCATGACCTTGGTATGTCCCTTCCCCTCTCTGGGCTCAGTGACATCATCTTTAAGTCAATGAGGTGGGACGAGGCAGCTGCACAGGTCCCTTCTGGCCATGGCATCCTGGAACTGACTGTGGGGGTGCCACTGAGATTGGGAAAGGAAGTCCCTGGCCCCTGCTGGACTCAGCAGAGGGGCAGAGAGGAGTGGGGGGGGGGGCAGGGAGAGCAAAGGTGAGGGGTAATTCCCCACCAGGGTGGGCCAGGGAAAGGAGGGGCGTTGAGACCATGTTCCTGTGGTGGAAGACATGGGTGAGGTTGGGCCAGGGGGTGTGGAGGGATGGTGTGGGGGAGCCACAGGGCCCTGGAGGAGGCCCTGCCCTTTGGTGCCAGGAGGGGTGGGTGTTGTAGCTAAAGGGACACACTGCGGCGCCTGAGTGTATGGCATTAGAGCCCTGTGGGTGGCTCTGAGCTGGTGCTAGGGGCTAGGAGAAGTGCTGTGAGGAGCACAAGCCCAGGCACCAGCTGTGGGCCCCAGGTGGTCCCCTTTCCCCAGAATGAGAGTCACCCTGGACATTGCACCGGCTCCACCAACTCTGCCCTGATGCTGGCAGCAGAGTCCCTAGCAGCCCTACAGGCTAGTGTACTGCTTAGGGCCAGGTGAGGAAGGGGTCATCTGTCCAGAGGCCACCGAGTCCGCTGGAGTGGTGAGCTGCCAGGGAGGGGCAGGGGAAGGCAGCCGGTGCCCCTGGCCAGCTGAGTTCTGACCTGGACACAGGCCAAGCCGTGCTGGAAGGTACCCTCAGGACAGTGGCATCCCTCCTCACAGCCATCAGAGAAGCAGGCCACCTGCCCTGTGACGTGGGCACAGGAGAAGGGGCATCCTCCATTGGGCAGGCATTCGCGGTACAGACGTCCAGCTGGGCACCCTGCCTCTGAGGCAACACCCCTGTCAGTGCCCAGCTCGGCCCAGTGTTCTTCCTGCTGACCTCTCACCCACACTTCCTGTGGCCTGCTTTCCACCCCCGGGATCCCCATCCCCACAACACCCTTTCCCACAGGCTCCCCACGGCCTCACTGCCTCCCCTTCACTAATGGCCAGGGAAGAGGCAGGTGGAGTGCGGGGAGGAGGGGTCAAAAGGCGCCCATGAGTCAGGGTCGAGCCATGATGGGACTCAAAGCTCAGTGGGGACTTCAGGGCCTAGGCCAGTGGGGGCTCACCTCTGCAGACCTGGGTGTGGCAGGTGCGGCTCTGGCGGGCCAGTCCTGGGCAGGGGGGTCGGGCACAGTGCCGGGAGCGCAGCTGCTCCCCTCCTCCACAGGAAACACTGCAGTCCTCCCAGGGGCCCCAGGGGCCCCACACACCAGCCCCAGGGCAGCTGGGCACCTCCCAGCACTGCAGGATGCCCGCCACACAGGTGCTGGGGACAAGGGAGAGGGCTTCAGGGATGGGCCTCGCCCACTCCCCTGTGGGCATGGCTGCTCGGCTCCACAGCCCCTTACCAGTTGTCACACGGCCCCGTTACCACCTCTCCAGGTTCCAGACTCTCCCAGGAGCTGAGGCCAGAGCCTGCTGACCGGCTCTGATTCTCGGGGATCCCTGAAGGGCGCAGGAGTGAGCATGGGGGTTCCAGACAGCTCAGCGCTCCCCATTGATCCCCACCTCACATCCCTGCCTTCCTGCATCCCACCCCACGGTGCCCATGTCCTTCAGCAAGGAGACAGGACAGCTGGGATGCGGGGCCTTCCCCTTCCCCTCCGGCAGCCTCAGGTTGGCCCCATTGGCAGAGGCCCAGGGGCCAGGCAGGGGATAGTGGGCTGCTGGGTGAGGGGGGGAGGCACTGACCCATGGCTCCCGGCTGGTACTGGCAGCGGCAGTGGACTGGAAGCACACAGAGCCCATCCTGGGAGAGCTGGCCTGGGGGACACCCACAGCTGGGCTGGCAGCCTCCTGGGCCTGGCTGGCACACACTCCCAGGGGACAGGTCTTGGCAGGAGCGGGGGCAGGGCTGCCCACAGGGCAGCAGACTCTGGCCACCCCCACAATCTAGGGCAAGAGGGAAGCAGAGAGGGTGGATGCTGAGGGACCATTCTGGGTGACAAGAGCCTCCTGCCACACCTGCCATCTGCTCAGACTGGCCACGTTGGCCAGGACTGTGAGTGGCTTGAGTGCCCTCCCTACCCGAGTGCTGTGTGGGGCACTTGGGGTCAGCGTCTCCCTAGAAAGACGGGCTCTCCCAGCCCCGGTGGAGCCCTCACCTGCGCACTGAGTGGAATTGTCGTGACAGGGGCGGCTCTGCCAGTGGGCGCCAGGGCAAGGCCTGCCACCCTCAGAGATGGGGGGCTGGCTGCACTCCCTGCTCCTGTGGGATTGTCCTAGACATGCGTCACAGGGAGACCATGGTCCCCATGGGCTCCAGGCTCCTTCCACTGTACCAGGAAGAACCAATCGTCACCTCAGGAGGCCCAGGAGGCCCCAGGTTAGGGAGGTTGTAGCCTCCAGGGGTGAGGAGACACAGGTCTTGTGGCGGCACCACACCTGGGCACGTGGTGGAGCTGGGACAGGTCTCCCTCTGATGCTGGGCTCCCATCTCTCCAGGGCACAGGGCACCCCCATGCTGAGGAGCAGGGCAGGCACAGGCCCTAGAGCGGGTCCTTGTTTGGCCTCTGCAGGGCTGGAAGCATGCCGTCCACTCTGACCACGGGCACCAGCCTCCAGGCACTGAGAGGAGAAGGGCAGGCACTGGGTGTAGTTGATCCCTTCCCCAGCCCTCAGGCCACCATCACCTCCCTCCAAACTGGGCACATACCTGGACAGGGCAGTTCTGAGCAGTTGAGCCTCCCCTCCAGGCAGGTGCTGGGCAGGGAAGCAGGCACAGGGTGGGGAGAGGCAGCAGCTCAGTGCCGCCCCAGGCCCCACATGCAGCCTCCTGGGCATCCTCCCCCTGTCCTCCTCCCCCTATTCCCACTCTCCAGTATCCCAAGAGCCTTCTCCCTGTGCCACTCAGATGGCCACCCAGGGGTGTCACAGCTGGTGTGTTCTACTAGGGAATGGCTGCTGGTTACAGGTTATGGGCTGCAGGTGAGGCTGGACAGCAGGAGTAAATGACCAGCTCCCTCCTCCCTGGGGGCGTATACCCAGCCCTCAGCACACACATGGGACTGGCTGCCTCAGTTTCCCCACCTATCAGATAGGAGTCATGGTGCCCACATTTTCTCAGGGACAGTGGGGCCTAAGGCGCCCACTGGCTGAGATTCTGGAGCTCAGGTGCTCAGACGCCAGGTGGGGCCACTCCGGCGGACATCCCTGCCTCCTTGCCACAGGGGTGCAGCCTGCTCACCAGTGGTTGCAGCCGTCGGGCCTCGCCAGCTGAGCGCCTGGACGGTGCCGCTCCCCGGTCAGCAAGTCCAGGCAGCTACAGTGACCAGGATGCACACAAATGGTCCCATCAGCACTCAGCACCTGGCCCGGGGGACAGTAGCAGCCAGGCTGGCAGTGCCACACACAGTGCTGGAGGGACAGCAAGGGAGGATTCTGGTCAGCAGAAAATAAGGCCTGAGGGGTGGGGGGACTCAGTGGGAGGACCCTAGGAAGGAGGCTGGAGGGAGAGGATGAGGAGGGGAGGAGAGAGGTGTGACCGTACGTAGTGGAGAGGCCTCCTGTTTCTAACTGTTCGTGCCTTGGAGCTCTGTTAAGGAAGGCCGGAAGGGGAATGGGCAGAAAGGCCACGTGGAGAACCTGGCGGCTCCCCAGGGGATGGACCTGGAACCTGGCGTCCTACCAGTGACAAACCCCAATGTCTTGGGATGCTGGGTTCAGCCGGTGACCTGGACCAGTGACCTGGGAACTGAAGCACAACCAGACCCCCCCTAGAACTTCAGGAGCAGGGACCCTAGAAACCTGGCTGAGCCAGGGAGGCTTCTGGGAGAGAGCCGTGTCCTCTGGGGACACTGTGGCCAGGCCTGCCTGCTGCAGCAACAATGTTCTGTCCAAGTCCTCTTGCACTCCCCCTCCCTCACCACATCTGGAACCTTCCCTGACCTCCTTCACACAGCTCCCCACGTCAGGGCCTCAAAGACCATCTTAGTCTTCAGGGTGCTTATCACGGTGTCCAATCTCGAGCTGCATCTGTCTTCCTACCCCCAGAATGTGTGATCATGGGGTCAGGGCCCCGCTGTGTTGGCCTCCTTCGGTGTCCATGGTGACTGGTAGGTGCTCAGAAAGTATTCACTCACATGCACAAACACAAGAGATGAGGTTTGCCCACCAAAACGCTTGTGGCATCTAAGAAGATACACCCGGGTGATTTCCCCTCCCTATGTGTTTGCGATACAAGTTTTAATTTGGGGAACATTTGCTGCACTGAAGCCAAGGGCTTCCGGGTACAGCTGTCACTCTCTGGAACAAGGGGAGCCAGCCTGGTGTGCTGATTGTCAAGTGAAGGACCTCACCCGTCTCCATCAGAGCTGGCCACATAGCACCAAGTCAGAAGAGGCCACGAGCCCAAGGCAACATTCAGCCTCTCCCCAAGGTGACCCTTGGGCCAGAGGTCAGCTGGGAGTGTCAAGGGAGCGCAGACTCACCACGAGGTCATCACAGGAGCGGGGGCAGGGAGGGCCGCAAGGGCTGTACTGGGCCCCCTCAATGGCAGTGCAGTCAGTCACTAGGAGGGAGACAGAGTGGCCTGAGAGCAGGTGGGGGCCTCCTGTCCCACTCCCAGGGCTGCTTCCTCCAGCTTCTCTTCTGCTCCCCGGTACCCCCCTCCCTGGCAGGTACCTGGGCACGGCTGAGCCTGGCAGGCTTCTCCCTGGGCCTGAGGCCCCTCACAGAAGTCCCCCAGCCCTTGAGGTGGTGGTTGGTCACAGGCTCGGGTCCGGCTGCGCAGGCCGCCCCCACAGCTCCGACTACAGCTGGACCAGGGCCCCCAAGGCCCCCAGCCTCCTGCCCCTGGGGGACATCAGAGGAAGGAATCGGGAAGGGCTTGGCGGAGAACCAGGGCAGTTGGAGCACGGTGGTGGTGGGAGGTGTCCACAAGGACGGGGCATCCTGGGTGGCAGGGGAGGAGTTGGCTACAGCACCAGGCAGGCACTCACGGTCACACCCTGGCAGGAGGCACGGCTCCTCCTCAGCCTCCGGGCCTGGGCAGAGGGGTGTGGGCGTGGCTGGTGAGGGCCCCAGGGCCAGGGTGGACGGTGCCACGCTAGAGGGCCTGTCACAGAAGCGGTGCCGGTGGCGTCGGGCAGGCCCGCAGGAGGCTGAGCACACACTCCATGGGGTCCAGGGTGACCATGCGGGCTGGCCTTGGGGTGCACAGGATTGGGGAAGGAGAAGGTGAACAGTGCATGCTAGGGGAGCGTAATTACCAGGATGGATGCGCAGCAGCCCCCCATCTCTCCTGAGGGCCCCACAACCCCTGCCGACTCAGCCCAGGCCCTCTGCTGCCGAGGGAAGAGGTGGGGACCCTTTCTCACCCTCCTCACAAGGCCAGGAGGTACAGTTGGTGATGAGCCCAGAGATGCAGAAGCTGCCAGGGGACAGCAGAAGGTCAGGTGGCTTGTGGGCTGCCTGGTGTTCCCCCAAATCCTCTGTTCAAGCCCAGCCCCCAGTACTATGAATGTGGCCTTACTGGAAGATGGGTCTTTCCAGAGGTAATCAAATTAAAGTGGCCCCTAATTCAGTGTGACTCTAGTCCTTATAGAAGAGGAGATTTGGACATAGGCATGCAGAGAGGGAAGAGACACAGGCAGAGGACAGCCATCTGCAAGCTGAGACGAGCCAGCCTGCCAGCAGACGACCAGAGGAGAGCCAGGAACAGCTCGCTCACCACTGCAGAAGGCCAGTGCCCAGACGCCCAGATCTTGGACTTTGGCTTCCAGCTCTGTGAGACCACCAGTGTTGTTCCCTATCCCTCGTGTGTGTGTGTGTGTGTGTGTGTGTGTGCGTGCATGCAGGTGTGTGCTACTTTGTTACAGTGACCATAGAAACTAACACAGGTAGGAATAGAGAAGACAGGTGGGGTGGGTGGATGGAGGGATTCAGGTCGGTTCGGCCCCACAGGGCTGGATGGCCGTGTGGGTGAGTGCAGTGGGAAGGTGTCTCTGGCCCGTGAAGCCAACATTTCCTGCTGCCGAAGAGGGACAGCTGGGTGCTTAGGTGACAGAAAGCCACTGTGGGACTGGGGGCCTCACCAGTTCTCACATGGACGAAGCACAGCACTACCCGGGGGATGGAGGCGCCCCCCGTGGGCACAGGGACATTCTTGGGCAGGCACACACACATTGTTCTGGAAAGGAACACCCTCTGTCATCTCCAGTTCCAGCCTGCCCCTCTTCGGTCAAAGCCAGCACCCAATTCCTCAGCTCCCCTCAAATGCCACCCGTGCTCCTTCTGCAAAGAGCTCTCCCCCAGCCCCTCCTGTCGGGCAGATACAGGCCCTCAGGGGCTGCCAGGGATGGCACATGAACCCCTCTCCCAACTTCTGGAAGAAAAAGACTGTTATGGGACCATCATACGCCCTTGAAATCGGCTATGAAAATATAAAATGTGCAATGTGTACAGCAACGGTGTAAAAAAAAAACCAAATTTTTACCAACAAAAACAACAACGAAAAAATAACATATGTATGGAGTTTGGACAGAAGTGGCTCAAATTTAACAGGAACATTCATCTAGTAGTGCATGATTCAAAGTCCAGCGTGGGAGGTTCATGGGTCTGGCCTGAGAGGCACTCGTCATCGTGCTCACTCTGGAGGGCACTGAGGCATGAGAATACTCTGCCTGAGCTCACAAAGCTACTGGCAGAAGAAACTGATTTGGACTCAGAGCCACACAGAACCTGTCCCTTACCCTAACCCACAGTTTGGCAGTGACTGGGAATCCTTTGTTCAAACCCTCCACACCCAATGGCTTCTCCCAGCTCCCGTTCCCTGCCCTTCCAGACCTATCAACCACTTTACAAATGAGAGAACAGAGGTCCAGGGAGAGGTGGCCGACACTCACTCAGGGCCACCTGCTGGTTCAGGCCAGAGCTAAGTCATGGACTCAGTGCTCTTTCCTCATCTCTGCAGGATTGATCTCCCTGTCTGCAGTCCCATACCTCTGGCTCTGCCCCTGCTCAGATTTTGACTGTCCCTTGCTTGTTATCCCAGAGTTCCCAGGCCCCGAGGAGGTCCCAGTTGTGACCAGGCAGGGGGTACCCACCAGCAGGTGCATCCCGTGTGGGCAGTAGCAGCCAGGGTGGCAGGTCTGCTTGGTCTCTCTCGGAGCACTGAGTTCTGCACAGGAGGCAGGGCCCTGGGCACAATCCAGCCACAGCTGACCCCTGGGACACACACCAGGGACTGGCCCTGGAGACACAGAAATTGACAGTTCAGCCCGGAGCACTTCATCTTGCCTGGGCTCCCAACCTGGGAGGGGCACTGGGAGGGCTCTCTGTATGGCTGGGTTGTCATGGAGGCTGCACAGGGCCAAGGGATAGGACTGCAGCGGATGGGACTGACAGTGTCCTGAGTTGGTGGGAACAAGAAATGGAGGGTCCCCAGGGCAGCTCCTCACCTGCGCAGGGCTGCAGGTTGCAGGTAGAGAACACCATGAGGACTTGTGGGCCACTGCCTCGGGTGCGATTTCTGTAGCCGCCACCACAGGGCACGGAGCAGGAAGCCCAGGGACCCCATTCCCCACCAGGACCTGGGGGTGGCACCCAGGTCATTGGAGGCCCTGCCTCCCATGCCCAGTGCACCTCCTCCTCCCACCCAAGGACACCCCTCCCTTCTCAACCCTGAAGCCACTTCACCAGCAGCTGTCTCTGGTCTCAGGAAGCCTATGCCTCTGGGGAGGGAGGGGGCTGAATCCAGGGAGGGTATCTCCTGGGGACCACCTCTTAATGGCATCCCCAAGGAAATCCCCTGCATCTCTCAGGGGCCCTTGGGGATGGTGCAAGTATTGGCTTCTCTATGGAAGGTTATTTAAGGAGGTCTCAGAATGTAAGTTCCCATTCTCACTTCGACATGGCCACAGGCTGCAGAATTCAGCCTCCATGTTGGGGCCCTGGCACTCAGCACCCCCAAAGGCAGCGGGGGGTGCAGTGCCTGCCCGGAAGCGCCGTCGTATGCCTACATCACAGCTGCGGCTGCAGAGACTCCACGGGGTCCAAGGACTCCAGCCACAAGCCACTGTCAGGGTGAGGGGGTCGTTTGTGTGAAACCAGGCCAAGCCGTATTGCACCTTGACTTCCCCGAGACACTGCCCCCAGTGACCCCTGAGTACCCATCACTGTATGTGGGTACCTGGACAGAGCTCTGAGGTGCACGCCATCTCTCCAGAGATACAGGTGCTGCAGAGAGAGGGGCCAGTGAGACCCAACCTTGCCCATCCTGACCATAATCAGCCACTGCCCTTGGGGCATTGCGCACCTGCCCCAGGAGGAAGCTGGGCCACCAGGTCCCCCATGAGAAGTTCAGATGTGACTCCAGGTTCTCATGCAGTGGTCCCCCCACTCAAATCCAGCCTCAGTGGGCTCTGGGATGCCCCAGGTACTGTGCTGTCCCTTTGTCACGTCATTTCATCAGGAGACACCTTTTTGTACTTTTTATTCCATCTACATTTACTAAATACCATTTGGAAATGGCCTTCAGTAATGTGTGACGTAGGAGCAACTCAGAAAGAGAGTTCTCCTAGGAAGGAGAACTGGATACTTTTCTCAACTGCTAGTTTTCTCCAATGCATTTTTTTTTTCCAAATTTGGTACTGGGGATTGTAACCCAAGTGCACTTCACCCAAGTGCACTGAGCTATATTCTCAAACGTTTTATATATTTAATTTTGAGACAGGGTTTCACTAAGTTGTTGAGGCTGTCCTCAAACTTGTGATCCTCCTGTCTTGACCTCCCTAGTTGCTGAGATTACAGGTGTGCACCACTGCGCTGGGCTAAAACGCAGATTTTAAAGTCCATTGTCAACTACTGTCAATCCATTTGTCCAGAAAAAGAGAAAAGGGAGTGGGAAGGAGGAAAAACAAAGGAGGGAATTGAAAGAGGGGGCAGAGGACAGAAGGGGAAAAGGGAGGAGAAAATGAAGGATGGAGAAAATGAAATGAGAAAGGAAAAGCAGTGGGAAGAGAAATGGGTCAGAGCGCCATCTGCTGGCAGAATCTGGTTTAGCTCTGAGTACTGGGCACTTCTACATTCTGAGCAGGTATCCAGTGGATCCCAGGAAGAGAATTACAGTCAGGAAGAGAGACAGGAAGCTTGGAGGTTAGAAGGTCCTCTCCAGTCTCTAGTTCCACCATCATTGCTGTGCCTGTCTGAGAGCCAGTCTTCCCATGTGTCAAATGGGGATGAGCATTCCCTGCAGAGGCAGTGCGTGGCTAGGCAGCATTTCATTCACTAGTCTTCACAGGGCCTGTGCCAGGCACCTATGGCTGGGACATGTTTGGGAATGGAGGCATGACGAGCCCGTGTGTGTGTGTGTGTGTGTGTGTGTGTGTGTGTGAATCCATTCCTATCTCCCTGCCTACCTCAGGAGCCCGTACCCACCCCTCCTCTCCACCCCTTCTCCAGCCTGACTGTACCCCCTGCCCGGCGGCCTACCAATTGTTGCAGGAGTCCAGGCGAGCCACTGCTCCTGGTGCATAGAGCTTCCCGTGCAGCTGGCAGGGGCACTGGCTGCGGGGCAGGCAGCTAGCGTTGTGCAGGAAGAGACCAGGTGGGCAGGTGCAGCTGGGGGTGCAGAAGCCTGTGCACTCCACCCCAGAATCCTGTGCCAGGCACAGCTGAGGACACGGACCCCCATCCTGGTGACACTGCTCTGCTGAGCGGAACACCATGTCCTCTGGACACTGGGCTGTACAGGAAGACAGAACAGGTCTGGCAGGGGCAAGACGGAAGGCCGGGGAAGCCAATGGAGAGAGGAACCCCCAGGCAGTGACTGGCCTGGTAGGCAGGACTGAGCTGATGAAGCCCCTACCCCCCTGCCCTCACTGGCTTGTTCCAGTGCCTGGAATGTCACCAGTACATGTTAGAGTCTGTAAACAAGTCAAAATAACACCTGGCATTTTGCCAGGGGAATGTTAGAGTTCGTAAACAAGTCTGGATGGTGCCTGGCAAAATGCCAGAGGGAGTGGTTTGAGAAGTAACAAAAACAAGCCATTGAGTGTGGAGATTCCTTATTGGTTGACTGATGTATCTAGTTTATGCTAATTAGATAAGCTGTGTGGAATGTATAAATACTGCTCCTGTCCTGCAATAAACGGCTCCCACTCCTGCTGTATCAACGTACACAAGTTATTCGTCACCCCCCCTGATTATTTTGCTGCAGCCGGACTGCGGCAAGTACAGTCACAGCTTTGCTTCACTTTATACAAATATTCTTGAGAGTAGAACATGAAGACAATGGTGTCTGCCAGGAGGAGGACTCAAAGAGCTGGGGAGAGTGAGGAAGGGGGCCGAGGAGTCCAGGGGCTAGCATTGCTCCCTGCAATCTGCCTGGGAGTGGCAGGCTGGTCTGACTTCCTGGAGGAGCCTGCCCTCCTAGGCCACTTCCAGGGGAGGAGCCCCGTCCCTAGCAGGAAGGAGCAAGAAGCCTGCAGGAACCTGGTCCCCAACAGGTGGGGGAGGAAGGGGACTGGAGGGGACAGTGGACATCCCGTAGTCTCCCTGGCTCAAGGCACCTTGTCCTGAAGAAAGAGTTCAGTGATATGAGAAGGTGAGGGTGGAGAGACGATCCTAATCCCAGCAGTGTGGCCAGCTAGAGGATGGGGAGGAATCTACCTGTGCAGGGCTGTGTGTTGCAGTCCCTGGTCTGGCTGTGGGGTCCCTGACATGCGGGATTTCCAGGAGCTGAGCCAGAGCAGCTGCGTCCACGTATCTGGATGCCTCCATTGCAGGGGGCTGAGCAGGTAGACCAGGAAGCCCACGCACCCCAGCTGCTCGGCACTGTCCAGGGTCAAGTCCACAGTCACAGACATGGCACAGATGTGGATAGGGGAGGGGTTGAGAGAGGTCAGAGTCCTGGGTCATGCAGGTCCCTCTTCTAGGACAGTCCCAAACATATTACTCATGTGCTGGCTCATGGGTGTACGGCTGGGGCAGGGAGGGGTTTCAGAACAGCCAGGGTTCCTCCATTCCCTCTGCTCCTTCGTCTCCCTAAGGCTTGGGACCTGCTCAAGGGTCATTATTTCCTGATCCTCATCCACCCAAGTGTCTGGACACAGGAGCAGTGGGGCTGTACCTGGGCACACAGGGGGGCTGCAAGGCTCCTCCTGGGTGGCCTCTCCTGGGCAGGAGATATCCCTAAGGCTGGGGCAGAGTCGGGAACGATGTCGCCAGCCAGGGACTCCTCCAGGGACAAGACAGCTCTGGGAGCAGGAGGACCAAGATGTCCAGGGTGTCCAGCCCAGCACCTCTGCAGAGGGACACAGGACAGGCCAACATAGAGGACCTGGTTGGGCTCAGAAGAGTCGATGAACTCAGGTCAGGTCTGAGAAGCAGAAGGCCAGGACAGTGTTCATGAGCATGAGGGATTCTGCTCCGGGCTCAGGGCATGGCCTCTGTCACCTCCCAGCTGGCTTGGATCTCCACTCTGAGCCCTACTTCTCACACGTGGGAGCCAGGAACAAAGCTCCCCACTGAGCCTGGCCTCAGCTCCATACCCACACCGACATACCCACGGTCCAGCCAACCTCTGACATGATCATCACCCATCCTCACAGTTCTCCTAGAGCAGTTCTTCCAGATTTTTCTATGTGGGAAAACTCAGAGTCTCTGAACACCTGACCTCTCTTTTCTTCCTGCTGCAAGACTGTGGCCCAGAACCGTTGGACTCATGTTTCAGCCTCCTCCCTTGCCCCTCCTCCTTGGGCTGACCCTGGCTCTGCTTCTCCTCATGTTCTCCTCCCCGTTCTGTCAGCCCAGTGAGGGCTGGCCGTTTGCACCTCTCTGTCTCTGTGCTCCTGCGTCCCTCCTCCAGCCAGCCTGGCCAGCCTCACCTCCTTCCTGGCTCTGCAGACGCGTGCTCCACCTGGCCAGCCTGCTCCGTCAAGGCAGCCCCTAACTCACCCCCACCAAGCCCATCCCCCGAGGCCAGTTCCAGGGCTGCCTCCGGCACTGGGGAGGCTTTGCTGATCCCCATCCAGAGTGTCAGTGGGTCCCATCCTCTGTGTTCACAAGGACGAGGGGCAGGCTTTGTAGTACCTGTCCCACAATCCACGTGGCAGACCTGCAGTTCCTGCTTGTCCCCTTCACAGGGGGCACCTCCAAAAGCCGCAGGAGGGTTGGAGGGAGACCTGGGAGAGAGGACATCCTGAGTGCCTGTCCTCCTGCTGCTGCTTTCCTGTCCTTCCTCCTTCCACTACCCTCCCCACCAGGCCTGCCTGGCTCTGAGCCTCTTCCCCTCTCTCCCCCGTTCCCTTCCTCCTCACGCACCTGAACCTGGCCCTCACTCCAGAGCCACAGGAGCGGTCGCAGGGAGTCCAGGAGGACCAGGCTGACCAGCCACAGGGCTGTGGGCAGGCCCCTGGCTCGCACACCAGAGTCCCCCTCTCACACATGCTGCAGGGAAGGAGAGCGGGGGAGCTGTTTGGCACTGGGGGCCCTGCGCGGGGCCCTGCCCCGGCCCAGCACCCTCACCATTGGCTGCAGTTGTTCAGGAGGAAGGACATCCCTGGAGGCTTCAGCTCTTCACCCACAAGGCAGGGGCACTCAGAGAGGGGCAGGCAGTGAGCATCATGGAGGAGGAGCCCCGGGGGACAGCGGCATCCTGGAAGCGAGGGAGAGGAGGGCCCTCAGCTCCATGGGGTCGGCAGGGAGGCGGGCTAGAGACTGAAGGCTGGTGGGCTTCTGCCGGCTGGGTCTACCTTACCCTCCACACAGGGCCCAGTGCAGCTTCCGTTGGTCTCGGGATCCAGGCAGGAGGGTGGGCATGGGGGCACCAGCCCCTTCTGGCACAGCTCAGCATTCACATGCACACGGCCCAGCCCGCAATCTAGGGGATGGGCCTCAGGTGGGGTGAGCACTGAGAGGCCCAGAGACCTGCCCACACTCCGTGTAGGACACCTCTCCCAGCCTAGCTCCCCCTTACCTGTGCCACCAGTGCAGGGCTGCAAGCCACAGGGTGCCCTTTCCCGGGAGGCCCCAGGACAGGGTGCACCGCCATTCTTGGGTGGTGGGTCCATGCAGCTCCTCTGGCGACTCTGATGGCCGCCCCCACAGGAGACACTGCAAGGTCCCCAGGTCTCCCACTCTGCCCATGCCCCAGCCACTGTGGGGAAGGAAGAATGGGGGGTCCCAAGGAGACAAAGACTGTACTAAAGAGAGGAGGCAGGCAGAGCAGAGGCGCCCTCCCCGGCTCAGTGGTGCTCTGGGAGGTCTGTAGCTTCCTCTGTCCCAGGAACAGTCCCCATAGGTGAGGACACTGGGTTCCTCCCAGGACAATAGGTGTAGTCTCTGAGAAGGCCCTGATGGCCAGAACCCTGGAGTGGGGCGCACCCTGATGACAGTGGTAAACCAACCAGAGCGAGGGTTGGGACCAGACGTGGGGCTGAGGAGACCCTATGTGGGAATCCCCTCTCTGGAACAAGCACAAGAGCCAGGGGCACGGGGACAAGTCCCTGAGATTCATGGAACAAAAGGGCTACAGGGCCTTCTGTGTGGAGCCCAGGGGTGAGGGGCACAGCCAGCTGACATCTGTGGTCCAGTGCCAAATCCCACCTCATGTGGCCTCTCTACCCCCACAGAGCCTGCTGGGGCAGGAATGGCTCTGGGTGAAGGGACTCACTTGGGCCACTAGGAGGCAAGGCGGGAGGGGCCAGGGAGCAGGTTTCCCTTTAGGGGCTAAAGGCTGTCATCAGGGGGTCATCACACTCTAGATGGGGGGATGGACACTGGGGTCCCAAGGAGAGCAGAGGCACATTCCTGATGAGGGTCTCAGATGGGAACCAACTCAGGCCTCCCCCTCACAGGCGTCTGGGACAATCCCCTCTTCCCTCTCGGCTGCTGCCTACCTACCTGGGCAGGCCTGCACAAAGCAGGGCTGGCTGCGGAGCTGGTCCAGGGGGCAGCTGCCCCCAGGCAGGGGAGGCCGCAGCAGCTCTCGGCGCTGGAAGGTGAGGCCCAGGCCACAGCTGCGGCTGCAGCCACTCCAGCCAGACCAGGGTGCCAGCACACAGTCCACTGCAGGGGACAGATGCCTAGGGATCAGAGGGGGCTCACGCGGGAGTGGGGCCTCAGGTTAGAGCCTGACCCAGCTTGCTCTTACCACAGCCATCCTCGTCCGAGCCATCCTGGCAGTCGGGCCGCAGGTCACAGCGCCGCTCAGTGGGCAGGCACTCCCCGCTGCCACAGCTCAGCTGGCTCTGGGAGCAGAGAGTCCTGGAGGCTGGCAGTCCAGGCAGGACTGTGGTGGGCACCATGAAGGGCATAGGACTTGCTGCCCATGAAACACAGATAGAGGAGAAGGGAGCCACATAAGTGACCCCAGGCCAGAGGATAAACAGCCCCTTCAGCCTCGGGCCAAGAGCAGGATAGAACTCACTGACCAGGGCCCTGGACTCCCTTCCTCCAGATGCCTCCTGCAGCCCGCACCGGAGGCAGGCTTCCTTCCACCATGTGTGGGTGAGGTCTACATGGGCCTGTGGTCTACACAGGCCTAGCCTACTCTACTTGTCAAAGGCTCATGGGAGTGTCCAGGGAGAGGTCACAGCACCTGGAAGAGCAGTTCACCCCCTGTTATATTGTCCCCCAAAGGCTCATGTGTGGAAGGCTTGGTCAGAGGTGGGGCCTTTGGAAGGTGATTGGATCATGAGACTCTGATCTCATCTGTGGATTAATCCACTGGTGGGTTCATGACTGATGGCCTAGTGAGAGGTGGTGGAAACTTCAGGAGGGGGTCCCAGCTGGGGGAGAAGGTTGCTGGGGGTGTGCCTGAACAGCTATATTTTGTCTCCAACCTCTCTCCCTCCCTCCTTCCCTCCCTGTGCTTCATGGCTGCCATGTTGTGATGAGCTTTCCTCTGCCATGATGTTTCTGCCTTGGAGCTAGTCGGCCAATGAACAGAAATCCCTGAAACCTTAGCCAAAAGAAGTCTTTCCTCCTTAAGTGTATTTTTACAGCAATGAGAAGCTGATTAACAAAGGCTCTGCATTCTGGAATGGTGACTCCCAGGGGTGCCCCTTCCTGTGATTGATTAGCACTTGATTTTTCTTTTCCTGGTTGAAGAGCAGGTTTTGATCATAGTGATTACTTTGATGGCTGGCTGGAGGGTGGGAGGGTGGTTGGATGGGTGGGTACACAGATGAGTGGATATGTGGATAGATGGGTAGATGAGTGTCCTTAAAGGTCCAACAGATTTTATAAAACAGGGTGGGACTCAAGCTCTACCCTATTCCCTCTCTTTGCCATTTCTACAGAGGTTCACTTTCCTGGATTTTTCACATTCAGTTCCTCTCCTCTCTTGCTGCCCCCTGCTCTCCCAGATCCTCCCACATGACTGGAAATGGGCACAGTGTCTCCTCAGGTCTGAAGCCCTCTGGCGGTCCCAGGCCTTGTCTCACCGCAGTGCCGCTCGTCATCGCCGTCCAGGCAGTCCTCCTTCCCATCACACAGCTGCTCCGGCTCCACGCAGCCCAGCACCTCGCAGGGCAGCTGCCCGGGGCTGCATCGCACGGGTGGGAAGGGGCTGGGGGCAACTCTCTGACCTGTGGGTGCCATCATAGCCAGCTGAGGAGGGACCTTGTGGCCCTGTGCTTCCTCCCTGATCACCTCTTAGCAGTCCCCAACCTTCCTCCTCTTGGCATCTGGGGTGCCCCACTTTCCGCCTCTCTTGGCATAAAAGGAAGGGAATGAATGGGGTCGGGAAATGACCTTGATCCATGTGATTCTGAGCAAAGCGACCAACCTCCCAGGGCTTCTGCCCCTTCATGGGGAAGTGGGGCTCACAACAGGCTTTGTGCCCAGGTAGAAGAGCTCAGAGCTTACCAGGAGGGGTCATCGGAATCATGGGGTGTGTGGGGAGCACTGTCATGGCTGCCATTCCTGGTGTCAGGCTCTGAAACCCAGCATGGAGTGTGGGAGTGTTGCTCCCCATCTGCACGGATTCCCCAGAACTTGGGTGAGGAGCTTTGGAGGCAGGGGCAGGGCTCACTGGCCTCTTCTCTGTGGGCAGAGGGGAGAAGGAATGAGGGCTGCCCAATTCTCCTTCCTATGAGAGGACACATGAGAAGGTGTCCCAGGCTTCTGTGTGGTGCAGGGTAATCACAGGGGCCACAGACCATTCCCTACCTTCCAAGGGGCCTCAGATTAAAAGAGAAAAGAAAGTAAAGCAGCTCTTGGTAGTCCAAAGAGCATGAGAAGGGTTTTAAGTGAAAAGCAGAAGAAAACTTAGTTTTGATCTGAGGTTTGTACTCTAGTCACAGAAGACACTTGTGGTGCCAGGTTTGGTGGCACATGCCTGTAATCCCAGTAACTCGGGAGGCTGAGGCAGGATGATCACAAATTTCAACCTCAGCAA